ATACAAGGTGAGGGAAGGAGAGTTGCACTCTGGGTGTTGAGCACACAATAGAGTGTCCGGATGTATATAAAGTTGTTACCTGATATTGATACCATGTTATTAACCAGTGTTACGCTAATTTAATATTTAAAAGGTTAGAGGTAAAGGGAGGTCTTCTGAGTTGTTCAGCTCCCAGTCTGTTTATCAGTCAGTATAGTCTTCAAGTATAAGAGGATAAAGCATAGAACAGTGTATTTCCCATTAACATAGCCCCTTTCCTAAACTTTGTCCCACTCTTGTGTGCAATTGCAGGTGTGCATTGTGTGTTGAAACAAATGGCATTACATTGTTTGAACTTTTTCATTTGTCTTAGGTTTCTGTATTGTTGGTCTATTTTTTAAATGCCTACATAATATTTCATAATATGGCTGTTTCCTAAATTGTTTATTCAATGACTATTAATAATGCCATTTTTTTGTGTTTGTTTTTGTTGTGCAGTGTGGCAATGAAATCCTTGTGTGTACATTTGTAACTGTTAATTAGGTTTAATGTCTTTTTAATTGGTAGTATAAATTCCTTGATATAAGAATTATATTCTCATATTGTTTTATAATTCCCTTTAGGATTTAGCTTATAGAACTGAGCAAATGTAGTAACATAAAACAAGAATATTTGCAAATCGTTGGAGCTGTTGGGATGTCTAGTTTCTATCCCTCGTATATTCATTGACATTACTGCTATTAGTTTACACCTGGCAGGACACTCAAATGTGCAGGTCAGCCTTTTGATTCACTCTGCTGAAGTATTATTTGTTGATTTTGATGTATAATGTTCACATGCCTCTGTTCCTGTTACTTTGGTATTTTCTTCCAAAATCAAGTGGCTTTATTGCCTTTCTGATTGTAAGAATAATACATGCTCAGTGCATTGAATTTAACCCATATCAAAAAGTTCATACAAATAAACATCACGGCATTGTCTGTATCTGGATTTGTAAAAATGGCATTTTGCCCTCCCTGGTCAGGTGGCTAAGTTGGTTGGAGTATTATCCGGTACACCGAAGGCCCGTCAGGGCACATATCTGGGTTTTAGGTTCAATCCCCATTTGGGGCGAGTACTAGAGGCAGCCGATTTATGTGTTTCTCTCTGTCTCTCTCTGTCTCTCTCTCTCCCACCCCACTCTCACCCTCCGTCTTCCTCCCTCCCTATGTTTCTCCCTCCATTTCCATCTCTCTAAAATCAATGAACATACTCTCTGGTGAGGAATTTTTTTAAGGCATTTTTATTATGTCTGTCTTTGCCATTTTTTCTCCATTTAGTGTCAAGAAAATTTTTCTAATGGCTCTGTAATGTGTCATATGGCTGTTTTATAATTCAGTTGGTCAAACCCCTGTTGTTAGACTCTTAAAATGTTTAAGAGTTCTGTACAGAACTGAATTTATCCAATTAAAAACAGTCAGACCTTGCTTCTTGAACATCTTGGTTCGCAAACAGTTCAGTCCTCGACCAAGTTGTTTATGAAAAAAAAAAATGTCTTGGTTGTTGAACAGTACTTCTGTTCTCAACCCCACAACCCTTTCACGCTGATACCTGTATTTCTAAAGGGAAGAAAGTGATTCAGTTTCTCAAAACAGCCTCTGGAACAAAGCAGTTAGAGAGCCGAGGTTCCACTGTAAGCATTTTTTCCCCATTTACAGTCTAAAAATTTGAATGTCTATTAATTAAAATATCAGTAACAAACTTACAGGAAAACTTAATTATAAAATAAATTTGGTAAATTTAAAAATACAAAACTCTGCATGTGGCTTTTGTCACAAAGTCAAAGTCATTTTAAGTGAAAATAAGTAAACATTTTGTTTGATTAGTTTGAAGCTCACTCATTTCAAAAGAGAAACTGCAGCAGCAAACATCTGTGCACTTAGTGTTCAAAATGCTACCACACATGAGGAAGTCGGGTTGACTTTTAATAAGATGATTGCAGTCTCAGAGACCATTAGCATAGGCATACTCTCCCTTTATTCACTTGTATGATGAATGGTAGGCAATTGTTGGGTTTTATCTTGGCTTGCTTGTTTGTTTTTTATTTTAAATACTCCTGTGCATGCCGCAATGCCACAGTAGTTGCTTAGTCGCCATGGAATGGGCAGGGTAAAGTAAGTATTAGCTAGGCCCTTTCTTCTAGGGTTTTGGCCCCAAAACCTATGGTTAGCCAGGCCAGACTGTAAAGTTACAGGTGCTCATGGCCCAGAATAGTGACAACCCAAGTAGTCTACTTCCTGGAGGAGAGGAACACTTAGGAAACAAAAGTGGAAACACTTAAGATGCAAAGTAGTCCACTTGTCCTGGGGTGCATCCTGACTACCCTTGCTTGTTAAGCCCGGGGCCAAATGTTCATCTCTGCCCTCTTTTCCCGGATTGGTTCATTCAACAAATATTAAATATTCCTATATAATAGGCACAGGTATATGGTAGATAAAACAAAAAGATTCTTGTCCTTGTGGAACTCACATTCTAGTGAGCTAATCATCTTTCCCCCTTCTATATAAATCTTTACTCTCCCAAGGCTATATACATTCCCTTTAACTCTACTCCTCCCACCTAAACTTTACCCATACTACAGTGGTGTAATTTTGTGCCTTTTTGGTGTTCATTTTGTTCTTGACCAATATAGTTGCTTTTCTTCCTTTGGTTGGTTCTGTGATGTAACTTTAAAGAGAGCATGGGTAGAAACCTAGAGTTCCTGCCACAGGGTAGTATGAGTAGGCAGTAGATTTTTAGATTATACCCAGTGAAGCAAGATATGTATGTTACTTTGAAGTTTTTGATAAGAACAGATTGGAAATACAGTTAATCAGAGAATAAAGATAAGGGAGATCTGTGTGCAGAGCTCTTTTAGACCTTGGAGGGGTGGTTATCTAAAAATCTTAAAAGATAAGTTAGCAGTGAAATAATTGGAGTTAGCATGATACAGTGGAAGAAGTATTTGTTAGATTAGAAATCAGTCCACCAGATTTTCTAAGAAGTACACAGTACATTAAAGCCCTGGGAACCTTTTATAATTTAGTCTTTGGGGATGGTAGGGCTTGGGCCTTTTTAAAAAAAACTTTCATCAATATTACTTAAAAGGTCTCTGGATCCAGGTTGAGAATTGCTGCACTTGATCAAAGGTATTTCCAGCTGTGACATCTTAACCTTTTATCAAATAAACATCACCTTCCATGAACAACTACAGCTATGGAAATGCTGCATACAAATGCTTAGGGAATTGTTGGAGTGATTAATGTTAAGATATAAATTAAGAACCCAGTTAGTCATTGTAGCAAAGACATTAACAACAGTCTTTTGCAATTAACTTTTTTCATTCCAGTCTTATTTTCCTACAGTTTTAAAAGAATATTAAAGTTTTTTCCTATAGCCTTTTTTCAATAAATGTTGCTTAGTAAGAAGCTTTGACTTTCCACACATCTATAGAAAGTTTCAGTTTCTGTTCCTTGTTACTGGAAAACTCCTTGATTTGTTAACCCACAGACTAATGAATGAGAGTAAGCCATGTGGCCCGGAAAAACACCGCATGCTCGGCAACACAGTGATACTTTAGAGCCGGTACTGTGATGAGGACTTCTTTAATAGTGGTGAATATTCCTTATAATTTCCCAAAGGATAATTTTGAGGACACTGTTTACTTACGTTTTCCCTTTTGTGCCTTTATGTAATCAAGAAATGAGATAATACAGTTTTACAGAGACAGTTTTATTTATGTAGTCATGAAACCTCAGAGTGAGTAGAATAAAAGCTACCTGATGGTTGAATTCTTTCCTCAATATTCTAGAAAAATCGTTGTCTAAGTTGCTTTTGAATCTCTCATTTACCTGGTAATTCAGTAACTCTTGGGGAAGCTTATTCCATCTTCAGAAAGCTCTGGTCATTCATTAGAAAGTATTTTCTTACATTGAGGGAGTTAAAATCTGACTTTGTGGAGTCCCTTGGGACCATATAATCCAACTCTATTGCATACTGAAAAGTTTTTCACATCTTGATTCTTCTCCAGCTAATTATTTGTTCTCTGGATTTTTTGTATAGCTTGAGTTTGATACAGTTTGTCTAATTTATTTATATCCCTTTTGAAATGTGTTAGCACACAGAATGCGTCTTTTGGAGGAGAAAGGGTTTACTTTTAAAACGCACCTTTCAGTAAGATTTGTCACTTTGCTCATACCATATCTTAAAAGTTAATTTACCTCAGTTATGCTGCACTATAAGCCTTAGTTTTTTGTTTTTGTTTTGTTTTTGTTTTGTTTTAAGATTTTATCCATCCATTTTTAGAGAGAGGGGAAAGGAAAGAGAGGGAGAGGAACATCAGTGTGTGGTTGTCTCTCACTCGCCCCCCACTGGGGACCTGGACTGCAACCCAGGCATGTGCTTTGACTGGGAATCGAACCAGCAACCCTTTGGTTCACAGGCTGGCACTCAGTCCAGTGAGCCACACCAACCAGGACTGTAAGCCTTACTCTCAATGAGTAAATTTTTTAGTTTGTCTCATTTTTTGCTCATACTTATTTATAAATTTGTCATCTTAGTTATAACTAGAGGACTTAATATTTCTTTTAAACTTTATCTGGTCTGTCAGTTGTTGTGAATCTTAAATCCAGTGACTTCACTATCCTTTTTATGTGAGATAGTGTACAGAATTGGTGATCATGTCCTTTGTTATACACGTATCCATGCTGTTGCTAAGAGGTTTTTTCCCAGCTTTGTTCAGATTCTCACATGCTTTTCCTTGTCTGTTCTTAAATACAAAAATGGTCACTGTTCCCATCTGTTGGTGGGTAGAATTGACACTTTTTGATCTGACACCAAATTTTAATACTTATCTATGGAATTTTATAATTTGAAAGTCCATAAACAAAGAAGCATCTGTATGACTTAATATATATTCTGGAGAGTACTGTGGTTATCAATGAATTTTTGAAAACTGTGATTTCTGCTTAAATAATATGTACCCTTTCTTTTTTCCCTCTTAGAGAATGGATCTTGGAGAATGTCTGAAAGTCCATGACTTGGCTTTACGAGCAGATTATGAAATTGCATCCAAAGAACAAGATTTTTTCTTTGAACTTGATGTATGTGATTTTGCTTTAGTGGGTAAACAGTAAAACATTTTGAATATGGACTAATTTTTCTTAATAGGAAAAGGCTCTTAGTAAAATATTTTTGTGGTTTTATGAAGGGCAATATTAAGTTAAGAACATCATGAACTTCCTGACTAACAATATTTTTTAAAAATTTATTTATTTACTTTTAAAGAGAGGGGGGAGTAAAAAAAAATAAATAAATAAAAATAAAGAGAGGGGAAGGGATGGAAAAAGATGGAAACATCAGTGTGTGAGAGAGACATCAATTGGTTTCCTCTCACATGCCCCAGCTGGGACCTGGTCTGCATCCCAGGCATGCACCCTGACTGGGAATCAAACTGTCACCCTTTTGATTCACAGGCTGGTGCTCAGTCCACTGAGCCACATCAGCCAGGGCCTAACAACATTTTTAGAAAGTACAAGGTGAAATTGGGTATTTTAAGAAAATATGTAAAAGTAATTCAATTTATATATTTGTAATCTTTTGAAAATTAAGCATATCCTTCCCAATAAAGTAGTGATGATTAAGGAAGTGTCGATTCAAGTAAATATAAACAACTGATTTTTAGTGCATGTAAGGTTTTTTAATAATCTACTGAATTTTTACTTTTATAGTTTTGTATCTGTAAATATACACATACAGAGAGAAGATATTAAGGACAGTATTTTTAATGTAAAAGTAACATAAGAAATATTAGAGGAGATAATCATTTAGGTATCTGAGCAGCTCAAAATCTGAATATATTGGGTTTTTTTAAAAATCTTTTTCTTTTTTTGAAAATACAGAATGCTTCTCGAATCTGCATGCCATTCCTGTGCAGGGGCCATGCTAATGTTTTCATTGTTGTTCCAGTTTTAGTATAAGTGCTGCCAAAGGGAGCACTACTGTTGTTTTCTTTTTCTGCAAACATGAGAATTGTATAAAAAATAGTGAAAAAATTTTTAAAGGCTTTATTTATTTATTTATTTTATTTATTTTTTAGGGAGAGGGAGGAAGGGGAAGGAGAGGGAAAGAAACATCAGTGTGTGAGAGAAACATTGATCACACGCCCCCAAGTGGGGACTGGCCTGCAACCCAGGCATGTGCCCTGACCATGAATTGAACCAGCGACCTCTTGTTTCGCAGGCCAGCACTCCACCACTGAGCCACACCAGCCAGGGCGAAACTTTTTTTTGTATTTACATAAAATATTACCAATTAGCATTACATAAAATACACTGGTGAGCATAAATCTTATGATACCTTTCATCAGTGAGGTAATAGGTGTTTTATTTGATTTGAGAGATGAAGCAGTAAGTTGGCCTCCCCACCTACTTCTCTGAATTTCCAAGAATTTCTGTTAATGGTAATGAAAACCATCTATGAAAACACAATACAGACTTCTGGCCAAGGTGGAGGTGTAGGTAGATATACTTTGCCTCCTCACACAACCAAAAGAAGGACAAAAATGTATATATTAAAAACAAAAAAAACCAATCAGAATCGCCCAAAAATCTAGCTGTATGGAAGTTCGACAACCAGGGAGTTAAAGAAGAGACATTCATTCAGACTGGTAGGAGGGGTGGAGATAGGCAGCTGGGGCAGTGGCTGGCGGACCAGGTGGTCCCACACTTTGCATGTAGATAAACCAGGAGGAACAACTGGGGAGCAAGACAGATTGTACAACTCAGGGTTCCAGCACAGGGAAATAAAGCCTCACTCCTCTGGCTATAAAAAGCTGTGGGGGGTTGCAGTGGTGGGAATAACTCCCAGTCTTACAGCAGAATCCGTTGAGAAACTCACAGGGTCCTAGAATGTACACAAACCCATCCACCTGGGAATCAGCACCCAAAGGGCCCAATTTGCTTGTGGGTAGTGGGGGAAAGTGACTGAAAGCTGGCTGAGGCCTGAGCAAGCAGCATTGTTCCCTCTCGGACACCTCCCCCACATACAGTGCTGCACTGCAGCTGTGTGGGTTGCCCTGCCCTGGCAAATACCTAAGGCTCCACCCCTTACTATGTAACAGATATGCTGAGACAAAAAATGGCCCAAATGAAAGAACAGATCAAAGCTTCAGAAAAAATACAACTAAGTGATGAAGAGATAGCCAACCTATCAGTTGAACAGTTCAAAACACTGGTAATCAGGATGCTCACAGATATGGTTGAGTATGGTTGCAAAATAGAAGATGAAGTAAAGGCTATGAAAAGTGAAATAAAGGAAAATGTACAGGGAACCAATAGTGATGGGAAGGAAACCAGGACTCAAATCAATGGTTTGGAGCAGAAGGAAGGAATAAACATTCAACCAGAACAGAATGAAGAAACAAGAATTTGAAAAAAATGAGGAGAAGTTTAGGAAACTCCAGGACAACTTTAAACATTTCAACATCTGAATCATAGGGGTGCCAGAAGGAGAAGAGGAAGAGCAAGAAATTGAAAACTTATTTGAACAAGTAATAAAAGAGAACTTCCCGAATCTGGCAAAGGAAATAGACTTCCAGGAAGCTCAGAGAGTTGCAAAGAAGTTGGACCCAAGGAAGCACACACCAAGGCACATCATAATTACATTAGCCAAAATTAAGGATGAGAGAATCTTAAAAGCAACAAGAGGAAAGGAGACAGTTAACTTCCAAAGGAGTTCCCATAAGACAATCAGCTGATTTCTCAAAAGAGACCTTACAGGCAAGAAGGGGCTGGAAAGAAGTATTCCAAGTCGTGAAAGGCAGAGGACCTACAGGATTACTAGGCTTAACACAAAATTTGATGGAGATTCGCTCCTCTACTTGCTCAGTCATTTTGAATGAGAAGGCCACACATTACAAATGCTTAATTAATGGCATCTGTTGCCCACACTGACTAGTACAGTGAAGTTGTCAGTTTTCACTCAGACTCATTCCAGCCCACCTTTTCCACCCCCACCCAGCTCCCAGGTTACATCAGTGTCACAAAAACCGCTCTCATACTAACAATGGCTGGTCATTTTTAGGACAGATCTCATATGAGATTGTCTATTTCCCGTATGGTCACACAGTGTGTTGTCAAGGTTTCTTTGCAAACTTTTTACATAGTGAAAATTAGTCCCTTCCCTCAGGTAATATTTTGCAGTTTTTTTCTATTTTTCTCTTGGTGGTTATGGGCCTTGCAAAATATTTTTATTGTTGTCTGATTTATTAATCTTGTAAAAATCTCTGTTGGATTAATTCAAAAGGCCTTCCCTATTCTGAGGTGATGAATTCTGTCCCATGGTTCTTTCTGGATTTTTTTTTTTTTTAAATTTTATTTATTTTTAGAAAAAGGGGAAGAGAGGGAGAGAAACATCAGCGTGTGGTTGCCTCTCATGTGGCCCCCACTGGGGTCCTGGCTCACAACCCAGGCATGTGCCCTGACTGGGAATTGAACCGATAACCCTTTGGTTCACAGCCCATGCTCAATCCATTGAGCTACAACAGTCAGGGCTTTTCTGGTATTTTTATGGCTTCATTTTATTCACTTAAATTTTTGTTCCAACTTCAGTTTATTCTGGTCTAAGGAATTGAGGTATAGATCTGGCTTTCTTTTCCAGATAGCTGCTTATGTGACCCAGTACTGTTTATTGATTAGTCCACCTTTTTTCTCTCAGTGATTTTAGATGCCACTTTTCTCTTCCCATGAGGAAATTTTAGTAGGTTTCTGTTGTAATTTAAGAATAAAGTTTTAAATTAGAAGAGTTAAGTAGCTTTTTTTTAATCAGAAAAAACCTTTAGGTGAGCTTTCATGATTATTACTTTCAAGAAATTCTTGGGTTAACTAACTGATTTTAGAATTCAATATGTGCTGAGTAAATTTATATTTTTGATTATAACCCTTATGTTTTAAATTAGCTGTATTTTTGTACAGTAAGGTAAAAGTTCAAATTGCTTAACTTGGGATTAAATCTTAAGTTTACTTTTAAATGAGCTATTATTTAATAATAGACATATTAATATATGCCTGACAAATGTATTTTATGTAAATATTGAAGTAGATTTTTGCAATAAAACACTTATAAAATTTTCAAATTTTCCTGTAACATTTTCATTTTAGATAATTTGAAAAACTATTACATACCCATATATTCAGAAATAATTAACTTTTTTTTTGCTTCTGTAGTTTGCAAAATTGGGATCTCACTGCATATAACATTTTATAACATCATAAGTGAATTATGAACATTTTCTTGTGCCCTAAGGTGTTCTATTCAAAACTTTTTTTAATGGCTGAACAAAATTTTTACATATCTGCATATTTACAACTTTTCACCATTAAAAATAACACTGAAGAATATATTGAATATTAATTTTTCCGTATACCTGATTACTTTCTTAAAACATTTCTGAAAGTAAATTGCTAAGATGGGGGATATTTTTAAGGCATTTGATACCAGTTACTTGTATTGCCTTTTTATAAAGGCTGCACTGGTTTGTGCTTCCTTCAGCAAGTATTTCCATGTACTCTTTCCCAACTTGATAGATGATGAATAGTATTTTTGGGTCATAATTGCACTTCCTTTTGTTATATTTTTACTTTCATAGTAGCATTTTTACAAAAAGTATAGTTTTTGAGTAAAGGTATTTCTGAAGAAACTTGATTTTTTTTTTTCTGACAGTAATGGTCTTTTAATTAAACTTTGTAGGCTATGGATCATCTGCAGTCATTCATTGCAGATTGCGATCGAAGAACAGAAGTGGCTAAGAAAAGATTAGCAGAAACTCAAGAAGAGATTAGTGCTGAAGTGGCAGCAAAGGTAAGAATTTCAGTCTTTCCAATAATACAAAACATAGTTTCAACCTTTACCTTTCTTTTTAAGAATCACACTCAGCAGCTTGCAGAGACATGCAGGGAATTCTGTGTGCCCTTCCTCTAGCTTCCCTTTACGTTAACATGCCTTACACAACTGCAGTACAGTCTGAAAGCCAAGAAATTAATACTGCTCCCATCCTTGCATTTTATTCAGATTTCACAAGTTATGCATGCACTTGGGAGGGGTTTGTGTAGCTCTATTCAAGTTTATTATGTGTATGACTTGGATAACTACTACCAAAGTTATACTAACTGTAGCATCATTACAGGATTCCCTCATGTTAATGACTTTATAGCCACACACCCTCCTCCCCCAGTCCCTGGCTGTTCTCCATCTTTATAATTATTTCACCTAATATTACATAAATGGAATCATGAAGTATGTAGCCTTTTAAGATTGGCTACTTTTACTCAACACAACTTGAGGTTCATACAAGATGTTATATCAGTATTTCATTCCTTTTTTATTCCTGAGAAGTATTCCATGATTATGGATATGCTGCAGTTTAATCATTCCCATATTGGGGGGGCATTTGAATTGTTTCCAGTTTCTTGGCTAATATGAGTAAAGCTTCAGTCGACATCCATGTACAGGTTTTTGTGTGGATGTAAGTTTTTGCTTCTGTGGGTTAAACACCTAAGCGTGCAGTTGACAGGTTGTATGTCATAATAAGGCCATTTTTAGTTTGGAAAGCAAGTGCCGAACTTTTTTCTGAAGTGGCTGTACCATTTTACATTCCTGCCAGCAGTGTGTTAATAATCCCCTTTCTTCACATTGGTGCAGCATGTGATGGTGTCACTTTTATTTTTATTCATTCTGAAAAGTGTGTTGTGGTATCTCGTTTTGGTTTCAGTTTGCATTTTCCTAATGACTAATGATTTTGAACATTTTTTTCATGTGCTTATATGCATTTGTATATCCTCTTCAGTGAAATGTCTGTATGTGTTTTGCCCATTTTCTAAATGGAATGTTCATTTTATAACTGTTGAGTTTTGTCTGTTTTATTCACTACTTTAAAAAAATGTTTTGTTGGGAACTTACACACCAAAAGTAGAGAGGAGAATACAGTGAGTTCCAGTGAATTCAAAGCTGTCAGCTTTCTGTTGTTCCATTATTTAACATAGTCTGGTACATTTTATGAAAATGCAAAATGGAACCAGAGTATCTTAGCTAGAGTTCATATAATAGCATTAACTGTTGTGCTTAGATATGTGCATACAAAGGAAAATGAATGCCCTTATTTGAGAAAGGGTTACTTTCAACCAGCCTTTTCTGACAAGTTCTCTGAAGATGGGGACTGGAAAGATGGGCGTCCTAAAGTGCAAGGTAACTGCTGTCTCGTGGTTGACAGGGATCCACAAGTGCTGGCTAGACCCCAAGCGATATTGGTTACCCATCACTACAAAAATGCTGTTTAACAAACTACCTGAAAACTCAGTGACTGAAAACAGTAAGTATTTTTTTAGCTCACCAGTCTACAGTCAGTGATTGAGGCTGAACTTGACTGGGCAGTTGTTGCATGGGCTTACTCCCACGTCTTCCAGTGAGCTGGAGGCTACTGAACTATGTTCTGCCAGAAAGAGCAGAGGTGCAGAAGCATCAAGCCCTGTGAAATAAGTGCTTTTCAGGCCATCCCTTGTATTATGCTTGCTACCATCCTGTTAACCAAAGCCTGCTAGTTATGTGTCTGAGTTCAGATTCAGAGTATGGTGGTATTTGGTAAAACAGCCAAGGGTGTGGAAACAGCCAAGGATGAAGAGTTTGGGGCATTAATGCAGTCATTACATGACAGATATTTATAGAAAAGTACCACTTTGTTACAGAGGTAATGACAATTGAGCTGGGAATTTCCTTGAGGAGTGAATATCTTGGTTTAAAGGAAATTTGAGAAGATTATTAGCACACTAGTTTGTTGGGATTGGATATCCATGTCAAATTAGAACCTTCTTGGCTAATATAATTGGTCACACAGGATAAATACTTATTTGTGTCCAAAATAAAGACTCTATATATGTGTCAAGGGCCATTAAAAGAAATGAACTAGATTCCCAGGATTATGGAGGTGCTGATGAGGAGGAGGAGGAGGGAGCGTACCGAATTCAAAGGCAAGAATTAATCTCAGTGGAAAGACATGGACTGAGGGAGAAGAGGTGCCCTGCTGATATCCTAAAAGTCAGTAATGTGCTGCGCAGTGTACGTACAAGGCACATTTTCTCATTTCTCACAGCTTTGTGCGACAGTTCCTAATCCTGATTTCTCAGATGAGCAGATTCAGGTGAAGTAGTAATATGGCCAAAATTGCACACCTGGTAATTAATTTGGCCATAAGCCAGATCTTTTGGGTTCTAAAACCTTACCTTGGCTTGAAAGACTTATTCACCAGTTTATTTCTTTAACTCATATTTGTGCTTACGCTGTTTGTTTGTCATTGGAAGTACAAAGATGGGAAAGATGAATACCTATCTATAAAGCGGTGTGATACATATAAAAATTGTCATAAAAGACACAGGTAGCACAAAAGAGGGTATGGCTCCCTGCTTCTGTGTTTCAGTGAAGGCGAGATGTGGTGCTTGATCAAGAACGCTTCACAGAATAAACTCAAGTTGGACCTTGATGAATGAATAGATATTCACTAGGCAGGCAAGGGAGGTAAAGGGAGACCTCTCAGGATGGGGAACAGTATGTATAAAGTCATAGAGGCAGAAAGCAACATGGCAAGTTTGGGAAAATATAGATTTTGTTGTTAACTGGGGAAACAGCAAGCCATGGTTTAGAAAGGTGAAGATTATAGAAGAAAAGGTATTTTGTACTTGAAATACATTGCCAAAGCAGAGGTTGGAAAGTAAGTTATATAGAGATCAGACGTGTTTCTGACCTCACCAAAGTGAAGGCAGGCCGAAAACATCCTAATGGTTCATGGATTCATTTGTGATGTGCTCAAGAAAGCATTTATATTCATGTTGCCTTAGATAACTTAAGTCTTTTCTGAGCATTTCTGAAATATTTCAAACTTTGATACTTTCTCTGCTTTTTATTCATGATTTTCTTTTCTGTTTCTTTCTAGGCAGAACGTGTTCATGAGTTAAATGAAGAAATTGGTAAGTTGTTGGCCAAAGTAGAACAACTTGGAGCTGAAGGGAATGTGGAAGAATCCCAGAAAGTAATGGATGAAGTAGAGAAAGCACGGGCAAAGAAAAGAGAAGCAGAGGTAACAAAATTCTTAATGTTGGTATGCAGAGCCTTAGTATCTGTACTTATAGAACATATATTTGAGGGGGAATATTCAAAAGTTACTACTATTAAGAAATTAAACCAATTTAAAGATATTTAATTAGTTCATGTCATACTAGTGGGGTATGTATCAAAATTAGTGGTTTTTGGAATTTAGAGCCATTGATATGATGAAATTTATAACTGGTAAATAAAACTAACTAAACTAGGTAGTCACATACAACTGATGCACATGCACTCAGCCACTGCATGTACCTGGTTGCCGTGATACCCTGTCCCCCATTCCACTCCCGTGCAACTATAGCACCCACCCATCTCTTCCCACCTTAGGACAGTCTGCTAGCACCGTGACAGCCTCTTCTCATCTTCCTGCACAGCACAGGTTAAAATCTGAGATCCTGCAGATAAAGCTCTATTTTGTTTGGCTCAAAATTCTATTTTGATGTTTAGAAAATTGAATATCTACATATGGGATTGTATTCTCCACTTTTTGCAATAGTCTTTATTGCTTCTAGCTGCCTTCTGACTGGGGTTAATTTGTTTTTACAGCCTGAAGGCAGGAGCTTAGATAATTGATTTTAGACCATTTAATGCTGTAAGTTCTCTTCTAAGCACAACTATAGTTACATCTCACAGATTTTCATGTCGTGTTTTCATTTTAATTCAGTTCAAAATACTGCATATTTACTAGTACTCCTTGTAATTTCTTCTCTGACCCTAGGGGTTTTCTAGAATGTGTTCAGTTTTTAAATTTTTGGTGATTTTCCCACTTTTTTGTTGTTGTTGTTGTTACTGATTTTAATCTAATTCTGTTACGGTTAGAGAACATCAATGTGATTTCTTTTCTCTAAAATATGTCATCTTCAATATGTCAAAACTTGTTTTGTAGTCCTGTATATGGTCTGTCTGGTGAATTTTCTTAAAATTTATTTTAGAGAAACATTGATTTGTTGTTCCACTTATTTATGTGTTCATCGGTTGATTCTTATATGTGTGCTGACCAGGGATCGAACCCACACCTTGGGGTATCAGGATCATGCCCAAACCCAACTGATCTACCCAGCCAGGTCTCTGGTGAATGTTTTTAACTGCACTTCAAAAGAATGATGTTGTGCCTTGCTATATGTGTATGATGATAGTTGAGTCAACGTAGTTGATTTGTTCAAGTTTTGTATATCCTGTTGATTTTCTGTCTACTTGTTCTGTTTATTGAGAGGAGTGTTGAAGTCTCCCAGCTGTAACTGTGGATTTGTCTATTTATGCTTTCCATTTTGTCATTTTCTGTTTTACTTATTTTGAAGCTGATATTAGGTTAATATATATTTAGGACTGTTACGTCTTTTTGTGTCATTGAACCCTTTATATTTTTGAGATGTTCTTTCATATCCCTGGTTATATCCTTGTTCTGAAATCTTCATTGTCCTATATTAATAAAGCCTCTTTAGCTTTCTCAGTTAAAGTTGTATACTATAAACCCTAGAGAAACTCCTAGGGGAAAGAAAAGAGGCGTAACTCATAGTGAAAATAAAACGCAATCCTAAAAAATACTTAATCGAAAAGAAGGCAGGAGAAAGGGACAAATAACAGATTGGAGATATAGAAAATAAATACAAGGATGGTCAATTTAAACCCAGTGAACAGATAATTACATTACATGTAAATGGTCTAAACATTCCACTTAAAAGGCAGAGATTGTGAGACTGAATTTTTTTTAAAAAGCAGGATTTAGTTATATGCTAGCTACAAGAAATATACTTTAAATATAAAGACACAGATTAAAGGTAATAGGATGGAAAAAGGTACACCAGGTAAGCCATTCTTGATCATTTTAATGTCTTAATATTTAGGGTTTTTTAAATGTAATTTATCAACCCAGACATGAAACATTATGAGTTTTAAAATGCAAAGCATTTTATAGCTAGTTTATTTCCCCAAAAGACTCCCAGGTAATGAAGGCAGCGAGCATTGTTACTTTGCTTCACATGCAGTTGCTGAACTACTGGGGTGCTTTCTGAGAAATTTTCTGTTAGGCACCCATTGTCGTGCGAACATCATAGGGTGCACCGAAACAGACCTAGGTGACACACTAAGCTTTGTGGTGTAGCCTGTTGTTCTGTGAAGAAGGAAAAATCGTTTTTCCTCTACCCTGCTGGGTTCTGGGCTGAGACATCCCTGTAATAAAAGACAGATCAACTAGAGAAAAACAAACAAAAGTTTAGTAACATGTCTACCTCCTGTATACGAGGGAGAGACCCAGGAAAACTGAGTAACGCAAAATGGCGGCTGCTGCTGCCTTAAGTGCCGTCTCCAGCTGAAAACGGACGGACGTGTTGGGGTCAGGGGTCAGCTGTGGGAGGCTTCCTGGAAAAGCACAGTAAAACCAGGGTAAGGCTGTCGTGCAGACTCAAGTCCTCTTTTGCACTGAGTTCTAGATAAAAGATCAGTAAGGTCATTCCCTTCTTCCTGGTATCTGTATTCCCTAGTAAGTGGAGATTTCCCTTACAAATAGGTATTTTACAAAGGATAACTTCTAATTGGTTTTTAGACCTTGTCCTATGTCTGGACTTTCTTAAAGTTAGCCAACCTGAAATAATCCTTACACCAAATACACGTATATTGGGGTGACAGATGCCATTCCCCTACATCTCCTAGGCTGCAAACCTGTACAGTATGTTACTGTACTGAGTACTGTAAACAGGGGTAAGTATTTGTGTAATGTGTTAGGGTGGCTGTAGACATCATTAGGCAATAGACATTTTGAGTTCCATTGTAAGCTTATGGGACCACGATTGTACATGCTGTCCATCACTGATCAGAATGCCTTGGAGTACCTGCATGTTTTGTGCTTTTCATAAAACTTCACAAGTATGTACTTGATGATTTATAGCCGACCTCTGAACAATGCAGGGGTGCCCTCCCAGCCTCCCACAGTAAAAAAAATTAGTAAGTTTTTTACTTCCCCAAAACTAATTTACTAATAGCCTACTGTTGACTGGAAGCTTTACTGGTAACATAAAACAATTGATGAACACAGATTTTATATATTATAGGTATTATATCATGTATTCTTACAATAAAGTAAGCTAGAGAAATGAAAATACATTTATAGTACTATACTGTATTCATTGATATTCTAAGTTTATGTCATCTGTTTATGAGATGAATCACCTTCAGTACCTATGTCAGTACTATCTTAAACAATACAAAACACTGTGTATTTAACATCTCTAACACTAGACTTCAGAAGTGAAAAGGTAACATGAAAAACTTAAGGTGTAACAGTTCATGCTAAAATAATGAAGTAGCAGTGACTGTTTTGTGATAGCCTGGTGCCGCAGTTTTCCCCCTTTCTCATCTCAATTGCGCACATGAGTTACTAAAATTCTGTGGCACGGGATTTTTGGTAAATCTGACAAAAAATAGGTATAATTTTTATCTGTTCACACTGGATAGCTTGTTGTGTTGGTGGTTGTTGGTTTTTTTTTTTTTTTTTAATCCTCAACTGAGGATATATGTATTGATTTTAGAGATAGAGGACGGTAGAGAGGGGACACCGATCTGTTGCCTCCTGTACCCCCTACCGGGACCAAACCCGGAAGCCAGGTCTGTGCTCTGACCAGAGAGCGAACCCGGAACCTTTTGGTGCGCGGGACGATGCTCCAACTGAGCCACCTGGCCAGGGCTGTTGGCTTTTTTTTTTTTTTTTTATTTGAAAATCTAAGGGAAAAGAAGTCGGTGCCCCTGACTAGTCAGGTGTCGCATGTTTTAAAAATTCTTGTGGCACACCACTTCAAAACTGCTGGCCTAGTGCAGTCAGCAAGATTGCTTCTCAGTAGCCTAGCCTGTACAGCCGTGAGTCGTCGTCAAGTTTTTATGTCATACACTGTTCCAGTCATATTCATAGCACAGGATTGGAAATGTTACATTTTTAAAAAATATGTTTTACTGGTTATGCTATTACAGTTGTCCCATTTTTCCTCCTTTATTCCCCTCTGCCCTGCACACCCCCTCCCACCTGCATTCCCCCACTTTAGTTCATGTCAGTGGGTCATACGTATAAGTTCCTTGGTTTCTGTATTTCCCATACTATTCTTAACTCCCCCTGTCTATTTTCTACCCACCATTTATGCTACTTATTCCCTGTACCTTTCCCCTTCTTTCCCCCTCCCATTCCCCCGCTGATAACCCTCCATGTGATCTCCATTTCTGTGATTCTGTTCCTGTGTTTCTTGTTTGCTTAGCTCACTTTTGTTTCTGTTTTAAGTTTGGTTGTTCGTAGTTGTGAGTTTGTTGTCATTTTACTGTTCATTTTTTTTATCTTCTTTTTCTTAGTTAAGTCCCTTAAAAAAACTACTTAACCTGTGATGATAGGCTCATCTGCAGTTTTTCCAGTTATGAGAGAGGCAAACTGTATGGTAATGTAATTCTTTGCAAGCAAGCTTATAAAACAGGAAGGCAACTAACATGTTGTTATACTTTATGTTAAATATCATTCGCTTTATGCCTGTGGAAGGATAGACTCTCCATTTCCATACCAGTCTTGTGCACAGTGTTCTACATGATGACCACTTAGGCCATGATAATGACCATGACCAATGTTATATGCTGTTAGATTTGCCGTACACTTACTAGAGTTTTCACATGAAAGCACATACAGCAGAGAAGTTTAACAACTGTAAGCATGAAGATTACTTACTATTTATTAAGTGGAAGTGGATTATCATAAAGGTCTTCATCCGCACTACCTTCACACTGAGTAGGCTGAGGAGGAGGAAGGGGGCTTGGTCTGTCTTTCTCAGGGGTGCAAAGGCAGAAGAGGTGGAAGGGGAGGCAGGAGGGGCAGGCACACTCAATGTGGCTGTATGGAAATACATCCTAATTTCTGCTGGCTTTTTTGCTTTTTCATTTCTCTGAAAATGCTTCTATATGTTATCAGTCCTACTTCGACTGGTTTAATTTCAGTGGCCATGTCATAGAAGGGTTCATGTCATAAAAGAAGTCAAATGTAGTCTTGAACAATCAGAACACTTCTGCCAAATTATCTAATGTCAGATTTCTGGTGCTGCTTCCATCTCTTCTTCGTCATTGTTTGGTTCTGGTTTGGAAACACTCATCTTTTAATTCCTCTGGTGTAACTGTTGCTAATGTAGCCTGTCCAGGCTGTCACTGTGGGGACCTGCTCCTTGGGAAGTACCCTCTGTCCTTTCAAGCGTTCCTTCTCCATTTGGTGTTGCCAAGCCAAAAAACGAAACTGAAGCTGAGCATTCAGCAGCACAAGCTTTATGCAGTGGCCAGAGAGTGGAGAAGCGGAGTCAAGCTCATAGATCAACTCTTTGTTTTAGAGAAGTCTGGGGGAGATTATGGGGGGGCGGTGGGGGGACGGAGGCATATGCATTAGTTTTCAAGGAATGGGCTAGTCTCTTCCCAGACCTGGGGCACCATCCCTTTTCTTCTTTTACATGGCCCCAGTGGTGTGTCAGCTAGCATGCTAATGTAATATAATCAGGGTGTAATGAACGAGGTTCAGGGTGTCTTGGAGGTCAGGTTCAGCGCCATCTTGGTTCAGGCCCACTCTGGTTGGTTTTTGTTATTTTAGCTCTCTTCCTTCTTTTGGATTTTTCCTGTAACTGAAATGGAAAGAAAGTACAAAATTTTTGACAGCTGGGGCAGCCTACAGGGATGATGACAAAATATTTATTAGCTCTTGAAATTCTCCAAGATCCCTATCTTGAAAAGCTTCGGTCCCACACCTTTTTTGACATACAGTCTATTTCATGGTCTGTTGATTCTTGTAAACCCTGTGAAGTCACACATGACATCTGGACCGTTCCCTCCAGCAGGAATTGATTGTTTTGGGCTTGATGCGTTCCGCAGCTTTTTCTACAACAACCATGCTTCTTCAGTGGTGTGACCCTTCCAGACTCTCGTGATGTTCTCTCTATCCGGGTCCCCTTCCACAGCGTTGGCAGTCCTTTCCCCTGAGCCCCATGTGTGATGAACCTTAAAGATCCTTGTGTCCCCTGATCTAGAGGCTGAGTTAAAATATGAGGTTGGGGGAAAAGTAGACCATTTCAACATCTGCAGGCTGACCTAATGGGGTTCTGAGTGGCCAGGGGCCTTGTCCCATCTCAAAAGAACATTAGAAGGCAGTCCATTACTGGCAAGGTACTTCCTCACTTTGGGGACAAAGCCCCAACGGAACCAGTCCAGAAAAAGTGTTCTCGTTGCGCAGGCCGTCTCACTGTACCTGTACAACCGAGTGCCTGGCGGCAGGTGTTCATCTTTTCATTTCAAGGCTTGGGGCTGAGCAGTTTTTATCCGACTGCATTTGTGCGATACGGTAGTTAGCCTCTCACTTCCTACCTTAAATCCTGGTGCTCACTCCTCTGCCTTACTAATGTCCTTTGTGGCACTTTTTTCCCAGAATAGGGAATTTTCGTGTGCACTAAAAACCTGTTTAAACAGAATCTCTTTCTCAATGATCTTCTTAATGGCATCTGGGAACTTGTCTGCTGCCTCTTGGTTGGCAGAAACTGCTTCTTCTGTTATCTTGACATTTTTTTAAAAGCCAAACCTCTTTTTAAAATTATCAAGCCATCCTTTGCTGGCATTAAATTTTGCAGCTTTATGTCCTTCACCTTCCTTTTGCTTTAAGTTGTCTTATAATGACTTTGCTTTTTCTCAAATCATATTAGAGTCTGTAGGTATGCCTTACAGCAACCCCGTACCCACATAAAATTTGCATTTTCAATACAAGGTAAAAGGGTATTTCATTAAGAAACTCAAGGTTTTTGCACCTGCTGGTGTAGCTGGAGTGATAGCTTCATGCATTTCCTTTTTTTTGTTTTGTTTTCTTTTTAAATGCTGGTTCTTATACTGGGTTTATTTATCTCAAAATGGTGGGCAGCTGCAGCTGCAGACTTCAATTTATGACACCCATCAAGCACCTCAGCTTTTCCTTTCGAAGACATGACTTCTCTCTGCTTCCTGGGTGCACTCCCAGCATCACTAGTGGTACTTCCTGTGGGTCCCATGGTGTTAGTGGAGGTTTAGAGAATTGCACTAAACCTATGAAAATATGCAAGAACCTTGAGAGATCACTTTTTACTGTGATCTGCAGTTTAGTAGAGATGAACCACTCACACATTTGTTGTGAAACATTCTTCAGTTTGGGTTTGTCTGGTTTTTCTTCCTGGTGAGGTTTTTGACGGGAATACCACTGAAGTCATGTCACACCCTGTCAGAAGGCGCGTGTCGGTGGTCTGGCCCGTTTCTGATGATGTTGCCTATTTCTCCACTGTGTTAATAAGTGTTTGGTATTGACACTTTTGAAACTGTAAATATTCTGTTTCCCATCACTTTCTGATTCACAGGTTATTACTGATTTTTGTTTGAATTTATTGATTCTGTTTTAAAGAACTTTCCTGTAGATCCTATCCAGCATTGTCCACCTACATGTCCTTAGCCCAAGCTACACCAAAGCTTGTAATGCTTTAAGCTGTGTATGCTGCTGCCTCAAACAAACATCAGAATTCTGTCAGTAAGGAAAAAAGGGTACAGTGGATACGCAAAGCTGCTAATATTAATTACTGTGTTTCATCAATGAACTTAATTAACATAAAACAGTTGAGTACAAGACATTTAAATCTCAGTAAGGCATCTTTCATCTCTTATTTTGTAGAATATGGAACTCCTGCTTTTAGCAGGAAGTCTGTTATTTGCATGCCCCACCCGCTTTTCCAAAGGGGGAAAATGCCTAGAAGGAAGCTGTGACTATATAGAGGATGTGCATTCCTTCTCTGTGAGCAGATCCTTGACTGACACATAGTTTGGGGATTGCTCCATCTCTTTTTCTTTAAAAAGAAGATTTTATTTCTTTATTTTTAGAGAGTGGGGAAAGGAGGTAGAAAGCAGGGAGAGAAACATTGATCGGTTGCCTCTTGCATGCCTCTAAGTGGGCAACTGACCCGTAAACCCAGGCATGCGCTGTGACCGGAAATCAAACTGGCAACCTTTTGCTTTACAGGTTGATACCCAACCCATTGAGCCACGCCAGCCAGGGCTCATTTTTAACAAAAATGATAGAAAATGGAACATTGCAGAATATTGAGCAAAACCATTTTGGAAAGTTGTGTTCTGTATCATGGTAGATACAGGATAGTTTTTGGCAAAAAGTATTTGAGGCTCTCATTTATCTCCAGTGGAGAGCTCCTGAGACAGAATGGCAGGTAATGGGGAAATCTAATATATTCAGTGACAAGATAGCCATGCTTTTTTGTGTATTCATTAGAAAAATACTCTGTTCATTAGAAAAGTGTATTTTTTTAAAGATTTTATTTATTTACGTTTAGGGAAGGAAGAGAGGGGGAGAGAGAGAGAGAGAGAGTTAGTTAGTTAGTTATCAATGTGCGGTTGCTGGGGGTTATGGCCTGCACCCAGGAATGTACCCTGGCTGGGAATCGAACCTGGGACACTTTGGTTCCCAGCCCGAGCTCAATCCACTGAGCTACGCCAGCCAGGGCTTGAAAAGTGTATTTTTTAATTGTATGACTTTCAATGAGGTTTACATGAATATTGTTTTTCTTTTGTTTAGGAAGTTTATCGGAATTCTATGCCAGCTTCCAGCTTCCAACAGCAGAAGCTTCGAGTCTGTGAAGTGTGCTCTGCCTACCTAGGTCTTCACGATAATGACAGGCGGCTGGCGGATCATTTCGGGGGTAAACTGCACCTGGGATTTATTGAAATAAGAGAGAAGCTCGAAGAATTAAAGGTATATTGTTAAATTATATCTCTCACTTTATCCAGTTTAGCCCCCCTCATTCTTTTATCTGTATTAATTGTCTTTTTGCATAGTGTTCTTGACTGGTTTTATATTTTTTAACAGTTCATACCAAATAGTGTAGATTTTAAATTGAGATACCAGCTGGTTGAATGAATGATGTTTGAGAAACAGAACTTTAAAAATTGCCCCCTTATTCTTGGAGGTAGGAGTTGGATATGACCTGGAAGTAGGAGTCTTAAAACAGATTCCAAACTAATTCTTTTCTACAAAGCTCTATAAATTTATTTATTTATTTTAAACACTTTTTTAATATTATTTATTTTTAGAGAGGGAAGGGAGGGAGAGAGAGAGAGAGAGAGAGAGAGAGAGAGGGGGAAACATCAATGTGTGGTTGCTGGGGGTCATGGCCTGCAACCCAGGCATGTACCCTGACTGGGAATCGAACCTGCGATACTTTGGTTCACAGCCCACGCTCAATCCACTGAGCTATGCCAGCTAGGGCTTAAATTTATTTTTTTTAATTAATATTGTAATATTTACTTCAAAAGAAGATTGAGAAAATGAGTCCAATTTTGATTTGAACTACTTGGCAGTTCTTCACTAAATAGAAAGCCTGTAGGACCTCTACTTTTATTTTACATTCTTGCCTGTTTCAGAAAGGAGTTGGAATTAAACCATTTATTTATTTACTTATTATTTTTTTTTTACTGAATTTATTGGAGTGACACTGGTTAACAAAATATACAGGTTTCACATGCCACAGTTCTGCAACACATGAATGAAACCTATTCTTTTTAAAGGATAATCACTGTCAAATATATGTAAGCTGTTGTAAGAAAGGCAATAGCTCTTACTCATCTTCTGAGTTCTTTTAAGAAGATACGTAAACAAAAAAAGTATTTCTGATGAAGTAAACACAAGCAGAGTTCTTGGTATTCTGAGTAGCTAGGATGATCTTACTTGGCTACGTTTTTTAAAATGACAAAGTGAGTTTCACTATAGCAAATGGTTATTAGACTCTTAAGTTAAAACTCCAAAATGGTACATACTTGAGATTCTTTGTAGATATCTACCAACAGAACTGTTTAGCATTTTACTGGCATTTTTAAAAGCAACAGAATCAGGGTAGTAATTGGAAGGGGCAGAAGACATTTCTATATTGGGAATCATACAGTATGGTGATTTATAATGCTTGATTTCTTTTTAAAAATATAATGTTAGAAAACATTTAGAGGAGAAAAATTTTATAGAACTGATTTTAAAATACCATTAAGAAGTCATGGAGAACTACGAAATTTTACAGATGTTCCCAGAAATGAAAGCTTTTGAAAACCAGACTTGTAAGCCTAATGATGGTACCTGTCAAGATTGAATGGTTCCTAAGCAGATTTTGATGTTACCTGTGCAATATTGGAAACCAGATATGGTGAAGTATAGGATAATGCTCATTAAGAATGGACCCAATAAATAATGCTCCTCATTTATTACTATTTAAACTGTCATTTTTTTAAAGAGAGTTGTAGCTGAGAAGCAGGAGAAAAGAAACCAGGAACGCCTGAAGCGAAGAGAAGAAAGGGAGAGAGAAGAAAGGGAGAAGTTGCGGAGGTATGGAGTGATTGATGGATTGAGTAGGCCAAGTGTGTGAAGTCGAACAACTGGGCTCTGAAAAGAGATGTGATTGGTACAGGGTTTCAGGCGGTAATAAATGTGGGCCTGGGAAGTTTCTGTTTACTCTTTAAAATGTTACCATGCAAAAACAATGTTTATGCAAGGATGTTAACTATGGCCATTCAAGGCAAGGTGTTTTCCTTCCAAGTGTGTGGAAGAGGTAATAAAGAGTGCCTCACACCTTTATATTTTGTAAGACATGCGAAAAAAATCCTTCTAGCCCTCTGATTTTCATAATGGGCTAGATTTGTACCAGGTTGTCACAGAACTATTGTTATTTTTATGATATATTTTATACTTGATAGAAGGTTTGGCTTCTTTGTTTTATTGATTGTTTTAGTTTATATTTTTATTCTATATTCAATTCTAGGAGCTATAAATGATTAAATTTTATTAATAAAAGATAAATATAAATATTTATATATTGGCATTCATTAGTTGATAGAATCATGCAACTCTTCCTATTTACAATGTTTAAATGTTCTGGGTCAACACTGGTGACAAATTGTGTCGTACCATGCTGGCAACATTCCTTGTGCCCGGTGCTTGTGACTCCCTTCACCACTTCGGAACGGGCAGGCGTGCCACAGAAGATTTACCTGTAGTTCTCACTTACAGTGCTCCCTTAACTGTGCAACATTACACGTCTCTGAAGTTTAAATACCTTTTCTTCAGCAGATGTGCCTCAGTTCATTGAAACCCTCTGTAATATGTGTGGGTTCACACCAACTTCCTCCCTGCTTTGAGCACTGACTTCATTCATCAGTTCAGACATCTTGCACTTACAGCGCTGTGAAATTTGGCTTATAGCACTGAAACAATAGAATGAGACACAGCTGCCTGGGGAGGGCTTCCTTTTTAGGGACGTGCTGTCATTCCTCTGTTGATGGAAATGTTCTCCATGCACCACAAGTTTTACCTTAGAGCTTCATCTCCGTTCTCTTTCTGTACACTCCGATGGTAATATTGCCCGACACTGTAATATTTAAAACAATGTAAATGAAATCTCAGTCTAAGTTAAAATTCAACTGAATGTAGTGCCATTCACAGAAATGATTCAACTGAGGTGAGTCGGGTGGGAAAAGTTCTTTGCAGGACTGTGCTTTTTCATTTGTTGCCACCCGGCAGACTTCTTTTAACAGTGATTATAAAACGTAATGTATTTCAGTAATGTCTTTAAAAAGTGTTTTAAGCCTGTCTATGAATTTAAGGATATATTGTAACTAAGTATGGAAGATGAGGAAATTGCAAGTGAGTTCAAAATTACACAAGATAGAATTCCAGCTATGGTTATTGAAAAGAGTAATGATAAAAATCACTGTGTTTTACTGAGTGGTGTTTCCCAGGCACTGTGCTAAGAATTTGCTTCTAGTAGTTCATCTAATCCTTACAACCCCTGTTTTACAAATAGCAGACTAAGCTGAGGGGGGATGTATATCATCTGCCAGCAGTCACACAGATGGTGGGTGGTGGAACCACAGTTGAAACTTCGTCAGGCAGAGTCCAAAGCCGTGCTTCACCCCTCTGTACAGTCTCCACAGAAACATCCCTGCAGCCCTACTAACCATAATGTCAGTGATTACTATTTATTGACTGTTAACTGTGTGCCAAGAAATGTAAGATTGTGTTGTGTAAACGTGTTACGTGTCATGTTAAGAAACATTTTGTGCGATCAGTTTGGGTGTTCTAGGGATTATAGTCTGAGGTTGCAGATCCAAAGTTTATGTACCTCAGATCATAGAAGTTTTACTCTGTTCCCAGGGGGAAAGGAGAAATGACAGAGAGATAAGTAACAGAGAATGTTTTCAGGGTCAGAAGGTGGTTTCTGGAGAATGAGTGAGTGAGTCGTGACGCACTGTGTTTCAGTCTCCGAGGAGCACGGTCTTTCTGACGAGCCAGACATCCCAGTTAAGAGCTCGTATGCCAAAATGGGGACATCTGTAGAGGTTTTTTTACATTTTGAAAAATTTCATTTGCATACACACATGCCTTATATTTATAAATTATAAAAATTAAAATCAGGAAGAATGTTACTTTAAGAGCACATTGTCCTTATTCTCGTTTATAGTTACTTTTCTAAAAATAGACCTTTTCTTTTTTTTTCTTATTTTAGGTCTCGATCACATAGCAAGAATCCAAAAAGGTAGGTGTGATACAAGTTAAGTGTAAGTACTGAAGCTCTGTTTTTCAGAGACAGTTGCTATAGATTAAATATCTTTTACAAGTGAACAGGAGTACATTTAAATAGATTAGTACATTTAATATTTTATAGTTCAAGCTTGAGCAATATTATTTGAGAAGAAACTGGTCAGAAGATACTTGTGTACTACAGTTTTGTTTTATCAGAGTGAAATTATATACAATGCCCTGGAGTTAGAGGAAAAGCTAAAAACATTTCAGAATTTTTTTTTTAGATTTTATTTATTTTTAGAGAGAGGGGAAGGGAGAGAGAAAGAGAGGGAGAGAAACATCAATGTGAGAAAGAAACATTGGTTGGCTGCCTCTTGCACACCCCCAACCAGGGACCTGGCCCACAGCCCAGGCATGTGCCCTGACCAGAAATTTAACCAGCGACCTTTTGGTATGCAGACCAGCGCTCAATCCACTGAGACACGCCAGCCAGGGAAGAACATGTCTTTAAAATTTTCTTTAGAAGCTCAGAGTAAATATGTGACTGGATTTATTTTAAAAAAATCAATTTGGGCCGGTTTGATTCCCAGTCAGGGCACACCCCCCAGTGTGGGGGCACACGAGAGGCAACCACACATTGATGTTTCTCTCCCTCTCTTTCTCCTTCCTTTCCCTCTCTCTAAAAATAAATAAATAAAATCTTTTTAAAAAATCAGTTTGGGTGGCGCATCTAAGAAACACATTCTAAGGGGTTGTACCTGTTGAAAATGTAAGTCGGTTAAGTAGTTGGATACCTTTTTGAATGAGGGGTTCGTGCTGGGTTGTGAGGAGAAACTAAAATGTTCAGGTTATGCCTCCCTCTTGATGTTATATGAGCTTATGACTTACCGTTTGTGACTGATCACAAAATCTTTAAAGGGTACTTGAGCCTTAAAGAGGAAGGCAACTCGGTAACACTTTTCTTTGACTTTTGGGTTTAATATTTGTAGGTGTTTTGAAACCTTTCTTTACAATTTTTACTAGTTACTGGTATTTTTTTTCCTATCTGAGAGAGGTGGGAAAACATGTTGGGTTTCATCATTCTTAATTTTTCACCTGCCGGTCTCACTCTTATCCTTGAACCTTTCTCATGAATTTATTCCCACCTAGAATGCCCTTTCTTGTTCTTTTTCAAATACTGTTATTCCTCTTGTTTGGATCACATCTTTTTGAAATGTTCTGAAAACTCTTAACTCTAAGAATAACTGTTTCCCAAGAGCTTTCCTCTGTATACCAGCGCATTTGTCATTATGAAAGAAGTATTTGTTTACCTACTTACTTACTTTTGGAGAGAAGGGAATAGTGGGAGAAAAAGAGGGAGAGAAACTGATTGGTTGCCTCTTGCACGTGCCCCACCTGGGGACGGGGCCACAACTCAGGCACGTGCTCTGACGGAGAGTCAAACCGTTGACTTGTTGCTTTGCAGGACACCTCCCGACCGAGCCACACTGTGCTTTTAAGACCCTTCATGCTTTTTAGAATCTCCCAGTTCTTTTTCTAAAATCTAAAAACAGCTAAGATATTAATAACCAAAACCAGTTGGGTTAGCTAATTTATATTGCTGTGAGTTTCTCAAATCCAGAATGAGAAGTATAAACATTAAATGATGATTCTGTTCTGTTTACTGGTTGATGAATGCAAGCTGGTTATTTGTTGAAAAATATATTTAAACTGTCTGTACATAGAACATCTTTAGGTAATCAGACCAGAAATTTAATTTCAACCACGCTAGTCCAAGCCTCTTATCTCTGTATATTTTGACACCATCTTACCTGGTCTCTAATTTCTATACTTGACTCACTCCCTTTCTGTAACTCAGTCTGTTTTTCACACATCAACCACAATGAGCTTTTTAAAAAGTGAAATAAATCATGTCAGCTCTGTTCAGGTATTCCTCTTGAACTGTGTTCAAATCCTCCAAAGGTACTCCATTTCCCTTCTACCTGTCTGATGCCCACGTGTCTGTGTAGACATCATTCTGGAATATACATGGTCAGTGAAGGTAGGCTATAGTTGTTCGTATGGGAAATACAGTAATTAATAAATAAGAGGACAAGGCTAAACTCTGTGTTTCTCATACTCACAACTGTAAACCTACTCTTTCCCACCCTTGGATGCCCCATGAGGTTTAGGACTTTAATTGTTGCTCAATCTCCTTAGTGCCCAGAACAGCGCAGTAGGCATCCAGTAAGTATTTTTGAATGGATGGTTAACTTTAAAAATGAATGAAATTACAGATTGGAAGAAATAGATGTTATAATAGCTCAAAATGAGTGATTAAACAATATATCATTTGGTAAAACTTATATTGAATGAATTTTATGTTCTTTTCCTGCTTCTTATGAGAAATACTCAGTTGTGGAAATACTCTGTTCAGCTGTGGTTGATGTTATGTGTGCAGTGTGTGCCTTTCTTTGACTGTGGTGTTCACATACACTGAATGCTTTTAAACTTCACCTAACAACATAATCATTGGAAAATAAACTCAGGCCTTCGCTGCTGTGGCTCAGTGGATTGATTGCTGGCCCGCAGACTGAAAGGTTGCCAGTTTGATCCCCATTCAGAGCACGTGCCTGGGTTGCTTAGGTCTGCAGTTGGGGGCATGCGAGAGGCAACCAGTTGATGTGTCTCTCCCTCTTTCTCCTGCCTTTTACTTCTCTCTAAAAATAAAGTCTTTTTTTAAAAAGATGTTTCATAAAAGAATAAAAATGTTTATGGCTTTTTTAAAAATAAAATAAATTCAGTTTGGTAACTGGAACAGCTGAATGTGCATTTGAACTCACTCTATCAAATGAAGTGACTCTTTGAACAAAGTGCATGCCTTTCTTTCTCTTGCCCTCCCTCAGTGGTCCTGGTTCTGCAGATGCCGTCCCCACCCTCCCCGTGCTTGCTGCACAAGTTAGTTCTGTGGCCCAGTGCAGACTACAGAGAACTACTTGGTTTTTCCCACCCAGCTTCTTCAAAATGTTTTTTCTCTCCATTCATATACTTGTAAATACGTTTTTTTTTTTTTACAGCTTTAAGTAAAATTGTCTAAAACGATTTATGCATGTTAGTTTTTTCTTCCAACTAAATAATGCACTATGTGTCTTGATTATACTATGACTGAGCATATTGTGGACAAACGTACTTCAGTGGTTATATAAAACCTCTCTAATTCAGAGAGTTACTTTATTTTTTTAATTTTAATCCTTACCCGAGGACATACCTATTGACTCTAGAGAGAGTGGAAGGGAAGGGAAGGAGAGAGAGACATGGATTGTTTGCCTCTCCTGCAAGCCCTCTCCAGAGACCAAACCTGCAGCCTTGGCATGTGCCCTGCCTGGGAATTGAGCCCGTGACGTTTCAGTTGACCGGGATGATGCTCCAACCAACTGAGCCAGGATGGTCAGGGCTAATCAGAGAGTTTTAACAGTACTCTTTTTCATGCCTCTCCTTCCTTCTGTCCGTTTCCGTCAGGTACACACCATGTCTAAATTGTACTAAAAGTCTTAGAAGTTTAAAGAAAATTAATTCCATAAAGCATCTAGATAATACAATCTCTGGGGAGTGGTAGTGGTATAGATCGTTTCCTTCCCTTTTTATATTCCTAATGCAAATTTATACAGTATTGATTGGTCTCTGAGAGCTAGCATTAGTTTTTGTCTTGAAATTCTAGTATGTAGTTATTTAAAACACCATCAATTTATTTTAGTGTAGATTTAGCTGACTTGAAACAGAATTGGCATTAAGCAAAGCCACTGAGGGATAGTTTCTGTTTAAAGAAGAGGCTTTAGTGAATGAACATTGTAACTAAGTGAAATAATTTTTGTAGATCCAGGTCCAGAGAGCACCGCCGACATCGGTCTCGCTCCATGTCGCGGGAACGGAAGAGGAGAACTCGATCCAAATCTCGGGAGAAACGCCACCGCCACAGATCTCGCTCTAGCAGCCGAAGCCGCAGCCGCAGCCACCAGAGAAGTGGGCACAGTTCTAGAGACAGGAGCAGAGAGCGATCCAGGAGGAGGTACTGAGGTGTCCGTAAGAGGACATGGAACTACCTTATGGTTTTGAATTGGAATACTATTGGTTTGAAACTTGCATCCGGTGATATGTACACATTTGTGTGGGTGTATAACAGTGTTTTCCCTGATTGTATGGGTAGTTCAGAAAGAATATACTTATGAGCCAGAGTAAGAAATTGGAACAAATATTTGCAGAGGTTATTGCTTTTCTCTGCGTAGTGTCTTGGTGGGAAAAAAGTACTTTATGGGCAAATAATTTTAGGTACCAATAGTCTTCAAGTTTTTTCTGTATGTGTTGATGAATTACAGGCTCTGAGAAGTCCTTTCATTAAGATTGTTTAGCTTTGTTAGACATTGTTTTCCGTACTTCTTTGAGCCGGTGCACTTTTTCAGAGCAGACACGTCTAGTATATTCTTTTTTAATCTGCACAATGGGTATGCATTGTTATATACAGTTGGCTTGACAGGGCAGATTTGGAATCTTAAGGAAGTTAGGTTCCTTAAGGAAGGAATTTCCACGCATGAAAATTCAAAAGATACAAGGAGGGCCAGGGAGAAGTTCAAGGACCTGGATATCTAATTGGGACAAAGGGTTAGAATGTGGCAGAGCCTCAGCACTCACCGTCTCTATGGAAGAAACTTCCAAAACTCCTCAGGTCACATGATGGCCCTTAAGCCAGTTCATTTCCGTTGAACATAAACCACACTTAAAATTTCTTTTTTCTTGACAACTCTTCTTAAATATAGGATTTTTTGAGTGCCTAGTATCTACTAGTCATAAATTTTTTATGGATTACTCCACATAAAGCCCATGACAGAACCCACAGAAAACTGTTTAAACTTTCTGGGTTTTGTTTTGTTCTTTTTAACTCCCAACCAGCCATTCCCTGAATCCACTCACAAGCTGAGTTAGTTAATAGGCTGTCAATCAATATTTATTGTATTCTTGCCTTGTTTCAACTAGCTCTTTTTTCCCCAGCTTTTTATAAAGTTGGCAAATAAAATTCTAAGATATTTAAAGTGTACACTGTGGTGATTTGATGTACGTGTACATTATGGAAGGTTTCCCACCGCTAGTTAATGAACACATCCAGCACCTCTTTGGTGAGAACATTTAAGTTCTCTTCTCTTAGTGAACCAAGCAGTTCTTAAGGTGTCTCTAATCAGAAAAAATTGTATACTTTGTACTGTAGGTCTAGCAAATGATAATGAAATAATGTAGCTGAGCCACTTTATTCAGCTGAGTGAGAACACAGGACTAACATCTCTGACAATAATCAGACTGATATAAAACCGAGTATATTATAAAGTGCTGAACTGTGTATCATAGAGTACATGGTAGAGGCATTTGGATGAAGGGAATACCAGAGTAATAAAAAATGGCTTCAGATAATGGATAGAACCCAAATAAAGTGGGTATAATTTGAATAGGTAAAACCAGGTAGGAGAAGGAGACTACAGATAGAGTGAGTATCGGGCAAATGCGGAGAATGAGCAGGGAATTTATAAGGGACAATTCCTGATAGCGTGACTTGTAGGCCACTTAATCTCATATTCTTTAAACTGTGGGCAGAGTGCAGTGCCCAGCAAAACACATTTAAAAAATATCCTCCGTGACTCTTACCTGCACTGTAAATTTTGGTAGTCATTCTGCCAGTTGATGGAAGGTCTAGGCCCAGGGGTATCCAGCCTTTTGGCATCTCTGGGCCACACTGGAAGAAGAGTTGTCTTGGGCCACATGTTAAATACACAGACACTTAAGGAAAACAAAGAAGTCTCATAACATTTTAAGTAAATTTTTGATTTTGTGTTCAGCCACATTCATAGCCATCCTGGGCCTCAGGTTGGACACTCCTGGCTCTAGACAGTTTCCTTTGAGAGCCTGCCCACCTTCCATTGTTTCTGGCGTCTCACCTCCTAAATATCTTGCCCGGCATTGTGGATGGAAGGGATGTTCACCTGAGCTTGTGTTTGGTCTCTGGCGCCTCCTGAGTTCATGAAGCTGGGTAGGAGCGTTTCCCACTGAACACACGGCAGGCACCTCTGCTACATTTCTAGCATGTTCCTACAGAGGACTATTTTTGTAAAACTGTTTAAAGTTTTGCTTTTCTCTAGAGCACTTCTAATGTTGATATTCACATTACTGTCTTTCAAAGCAACATTTTTTACCAAAAATTAGCAGGCAATTGCTATTAAAACCTACATGTTATTATACATACACAAGCATAAAGTTATTGCTACATATTTGATTTTAATTTTCAAGGTAAAAATCTCAGTTAAGTCTTTTATGATATGCTGTTCTCCTGCCCCAGCTGAAGTAGTGGTCTCTGATATAAGTACAGTCTGTTTGTGACCTTTCCCTGGCAGCAGTCACCCTTGGCAAAGGAGGGCTATTTGCATTTTTCTGCTTCCTGCTCTGTTCAAACATACAGTGCGGCCCCCAGAGCCAGGCCACTTGGTTTCAGTGGCCTTGGCCATGTCATCTAATGATCCCACCTTTCTTTTCCCATCTACTAAGTAGAGCTAGTTAAGAGTACCTGCTTTGTTAGGGTTAGTGGCAGTCCGAGCGAGATAGGGAGTGGAAACTGCTTGTGTATACACATTGTAATTGCTCACGAAGCAGTAGTTGATGCTCATCTCATAGTTGATTTTCAGTTGTTATCACTGACCTCTTAGTCTTCATATTCCATTCTTACAAAGATTATGGGTAGGATGAGTGTAACCGGATATGTGCACTGTGTGGGTTTTTTTTTACACATCATTTTTAAATTAAGCTTATTAAAACCTTAATAAGTAGAATGCTTCTAGTTGACATTACTTTATCTTTCAGCCTTTTTGGTTTAATCCTTAATTATATTTCTAAAACTGAGTATAATAGTAATTCTTTCCTGCCTTAGAAGTTGAAAGTATTACTTAATCAGACCTCAGATCTAAATTCTGAACATGGGTTAAGTGAGATGATTATATAGAAGTATCATGTCACCTGTAAAGAATGAAATAAACGTAATATGTGTTTCTGATTCATTCTAGATGTTGAAAGTATAGAAGATTTCATATTAATTCTGATCCTGTGATGTCCTTTGGTTTTTCTTCTGACTGAATCTCTGATATGACCTTGTTTTGTTATTTACCTTTTTGAAGTTGGGTGTGGTAATGGAGAGATGGTATTAAGAAACAGTTATGGTTAATCAAGATTTGTTGTAGTGTGATCATCTTCCTCTGTCTTCCATTCTGATTTTTTTCTTTGGTTGAATGAGCTAACTCAGGAGGAGTAAAGCACATTTTAAAAATAATAAATGTTTACCATGTCATTAATTGAGTAGTTCTCTTACCTAAGTTACCCACAGGTCAAATCTGGCCCTCTAGCTTGTTTCTGCATAGGCAGCAAGCTCCGGATGGTTTTTACATTGTTTAAAGGGTTGATAAAAAACAGAAAAGGGAGACGAGTATGCCAGAGACAGTATGTGACCACAACACCTGAAACCTGTACTCCCCGACCAGACGGCAGGAGAGGTTTGCAGACCCTGTGTGAGACACTGATTTCCATCCAATTTGGGATCTACACTCTATTACATGTTTTTTAATTGGGTAATACCTTTGGCTTTTGAAAGGTATTGTCTGTGATTCTTATACTAAATACCTTTACTAAGCATTAGAGAATCGTTTTGATTGCCTCCAAGACAAGGAGAGTATCCTATAACTCATCATTTTAGCATGTGGTTTTCGACTTTAGCTATTTGTGTTCGCTCGTGTCCTTGTTTTAGACCCTTACCAAATATGGTGGTGCTCTTTTCTGTCAGAAAACCAACTCCTATCTTTTTGGATGTATTCTGTATATCTTCAGCTATCGATACCTTAATATTTATCCGATTCTTTCATTTGGATTTTGGGTTTCCCAACACATTTTGCTCCTCAAATTAATATTTTTCAGATCCTCAAAAGAAAGATTCAGAGACCAAGACTTAGCATCACGTGACAGAGACAGGAATTCAAGAGACAGATCACCTCGTGACAGAGATCGAAAAGATAAGAAGCGGTCCTATGAGAGCGCTAATGGCAGATCAGAAGACAGGAGGAGCTCTGAAGAGCGCGAAGCAGGGGAGATATAATTAGCTCTGTACATGTCCTCAGTCCTTAAGCTTCCTCTGGAGTCACATACTATTGTTTAGTTTACAGCCGCTCGGGGGGACGCAGTGAGCAGTTCCACACACCGGTCCAGCTAGGCTAGATGCACAGTTTCCAGCTCGATCTGAACTGAGCGTGTTTTCCTTGATGAAGCCTCAGACTGCACCCATAGTTCCCGGTGAACCTGTAATCCAGTTCTGAAAGTGTTCAACACAGTTTTATATACCAGAAAGATGCGAATGTCTTTGTTCTTTCTAGTAGAAGTGAGAACAAACGAATTGTGTTACTTGCCTTGGGGTTTTTGAACATTTGTAAAAATGCTGTCTTCCTTTCTAGTCCAAACAGCGCAGCTTTGGGGATTTTGCTTTTTAATCCTTCTTCCTCTGACTTTTGTATCCCCTACCCACCCTCTAATTTTAAGAGAAAGGGGGTCAGGGAAGCAATATAGCTTCTGTTCTAAGGTTCTTTTCCCATTAATAACTAGCTGATTACAGTTCAGAGCATTTATACTGGAATGTGTGCTGGAGAAATTTAAATACTGGGAATTTTTTTTTAGTTTGTTTAGGGTTGGAAGTTGAACAGCTCTTGCATTACATATACTTTGCTTTTTTATTGACAATTGGAAATCAACTAAGTCTTGATTTTTCTGTTGTATTGAATTACTACTACGTTCAGGGTGTTTTGAAAATGGGGTGGGGACAGGGACTTTTTCATAAGCACTTCTGTTTTATTTTGTGTGTGTGGAATATAAAGACTATACCCTTATTGTAAAAAAACATTAATAATGAAATGAAACAGTCACCACCACCATTACTATTAAACTGTAACCTGTCTAGTAAATTGTCACTAGAACTACTTGCTGTGGGCATTTCTTTTATTCTTTTATATCATTACTAGTGCCTTACTGTGCAAGGCACCAAAGGAGATACACACACACTCCCGAAGATTCAAGCCGAACTGCTGTTCACCTGGGTCCCTGGCCGACATACTTCAGGGCTGTCTGTACATCCGCTTCCGCGAAGGACTGGACCTGCAGAAGAAACTGGGTTTTTCATTTGCTTTTGTTTTGTATTTCTTCTTATTCGGCAAACTGAAATAAAAACATGGTATAACCAATGTAATGAGACTAGCAGTTTCTGCATTGAAAGCTATAGATACCCACTGTGATTTAAACAAGTGTCACTTGTGATTCTAGAAAATCCGAGTAACCAAAATACATCAAGGACTGAAATGAGTGTCTGTGAGTACAGTTAACTGAGATCACCTTTTAAGAACTAGTTTTGATTTGTTCCCCTAAGTGGCAAATGCGAGGTCCCGGAACGTGGGCCTCACATTGGCTTTACAGGGTGTGAGTCCGAGGCCCACCTGCGTCACTGGTTGCTGAGGGACCGTTGGTCTCCGCACTGTTCCTAGTGGTCTGCGCTCCTCCCTTAGATCCCTGCGGGCACTTGGGGTTTCGTGCTTGGGGTGTGGAGTGAGACGGAGAAGGTTGGGCTCGTGGGTTCGGGGAAGACTGACTGGGACCTGGCCCGTGACGGTTGGTGATACATCTGGGCTGAGATAGCAAACTCCAGAACATGATTGAAAAATACGGTTTAGCATTATGTTTGTATAATTGGAATGTAATCCTTGTTTTCCGCGTAATCATACAGACACCTGTATTGTTAGCTGTTGCCGCAGTGGTGATCTGCAGGCGGCGCGGGCCCCTGACGCCGGCAGGTCAGCGGCAGCCAGTGAAGGACAGCATCGCTCTGGGCTGGCTCCGTCGGGGAGTCGCTCCGGCCGCGTGTGCCTTCCGGTGAAGGACCCCGATTTAAAAACCCTGGGGCGATTCTGTTGCTTAGATGCTTCTAGTATTTAGACTTGGGGTAAATGATCTACATTTTCAATCATTATCCTTGAGCCAGGGCAACCACTCAGAATAACCCTGAAATCTCAATATGTCTGTTCCTCATACCTGTTTTTGGCAATTTTTTTTTTTTTAATCTGGTGACTGTAATAGAAAGTGTAAGGTTAGTCCCATATCTGCAAAACCTCTGTGATGGATCCTCGGTGATGTCACGTGTGGGGGCCTTCAGTAAGGACTTGGTTTGCCGTTACTGCGCAGCCCCCAAAGCCACTTCACTGAGATGGATCAGCAGCAGCCACTGAAACTGAAGGAAAAATCCTTCCATTCTAAGTAGACTTTAAAAAGAAAGACTTTACCTCTCCGATAATTATCCTGACATTAGTGTTTTAAGTTTTCTTCATCTTTTCCCAGTTTTTTCCCTCCGTGTTTCATTTTAAGAGCCCATTTCCATAACTAGAAACAGCTATCGATCCTGGCCCTTGGAGCCAGAGCCACGCCTGCATTATAATCTAAACACTTGTCATACGTTGTGGTGATTTCCCATTCATTGTGGTACCTTTCAAAATGGTTTTTATAAACCAGTTTTTAAAATCAGAAATGTTTATAGGATTTTCAACATTGAAAATCCAAGTAAATATTACATAACTTTAACGTGTGCATATCCGAGGTGGACACTCAACTGGTGTGCACAGGTGTAGCAGCCATTTGAATCAGTGAGCCATTGACCTGTGCCCCTTCCGTCAGCCGTGTGCACCTCCCCTGACCTTGAGCGCCTTCCCTGCGAGCATCCGCACAGCCGAGAGCCTTCAGAGCCCCTCAGTCCACCGTCACGTGCTGTATACTGACATATTCTGAAAAATCTTGTTTGTTTTTACTATGTGAAAAAACAAAGCTGTTTACACCACGATCTTATGATACCCTAACTTAATAATTAGATTTTCCCAGGGTATAAATAAGGCAATACAAAATTATCCTTTGTTTTTCTTTCCATTGCCTGTGCTAATGGGCAAAAGTAATCCCAGCGCAAGAGGAGTTAGAAGAGGCTGGGGAGGGCTGGGAGAACGGGGCTTTGATGGCGGAGGCCGAGTCTGTCAGCAGACCGGTCCCGTTTGGTGTGTCTGCCTGTTTTTCACGTTCCGGGAGACACTAGCGTGTCAGAGGTTCTGGGTCTACAAGCACATCTGGGGATCAGACCAGACTGATGGCCAGCACAGTAGGGGTGAGGCTGAACGAGGCATTCGGACTCCAAACTGGGCTCAGTCAAGGACCCAGCAGGGAGCTGAGACCGTAGAGAAGGCAGAGCAGCTCTCAAGGTCCCTGCTGCAGCGCACTCCTGTGTTGGGCTGCTGGCTGCCTGTGACAGGAGACCCAGCTCACGTGGGCTTGAACATGCAGGGGCCCTTGGCTCACGTGGTTGAGTTCCACAGGGCAGCTCCATCCTGAGCTGATGAAACCATTCCTTTGTGTCTCTAAACAGCAAGGCAACTTCCTGTGAAAAGCCTCGGGCAACCTTTTCTCACATTTCTGTGACCTGTACTGGGTCACGTTCCCATTGGGGAACCAACCGAAGTGGCGGCCGAGTAATGAGGCTCCTGACCGGCTCGGGCCGGGGCCCCTGAAGCAAACATTGACCAGCAGGCTGGGGTTGCAGGTTGGCATGATGGGCTCGGGTGGGTCAGTGCTCACCCACAGCTCCAAACAGGGGTCACCGCCAGACCACGTGGCTGCCCCATGGTTGGGCACCGGAGGTTGGGACAGATGAGGGAGAGGACCCGTGTCCCCAGCGCCTCCTTTCCCAGGACACGCTTGAATGTTGGCAGCCTGACCAAGCGCTGGGGCAGTGAACGGGCCTTGTTTCCCGCACCCTCCTACGAGCCCGGAGTGGGGGCAAGCAGGTGTTCAGCGAGTATTCGAGATGGTCGTCCAAGTGCCTCATCGTTTCTACAAGCTTCAGCCCATGTCATCTCCGACTCATGCGTCACAGGTGGCAGGAGCGGTGTCCTGCCATCACACCCCTTTGACAGGGGAGGGAACCGAGCGGTGCCCAGTGACTGATCAAACACACCGCAGAGCTGGCCAGCGTCTTTTTGATTCTGAGCCTGAGGCTCCTTCTGGCATAGCAGTGCGTCCTGGGCTGGGAGAGGCAAGAAGGGACCAACAGGAGTGTCCCAAGAGGGAACAAAAAGGCCCAAATAAATGAAGGTGGGGTAATCACCGTATGGTTCCGTGCCAGGTAGTCTCGAGTTTACACTGCCTCCGGAGCAGAGTAACAGATGAAAGCCCTCACTTACCCACGCTGGGACGCGTGGGTTACATGGTTTAGTTCCCCGATTTGGGAGGGTTTTGTTTTAGAAAGTTTGGTACCACTTACTTGTAATCAATGTTAAAATCTACCAGGTGATGAAATATGAAGTACCCAGGATCATGACGGATTTCTATCAAAAATGCTTATAGTGAATCAAGCCCAACTTCCAATTTACAGAAAGGAGACAAATGCAGTGTAGCTGTCACTTTGTTTGTTTAAATAGTTAAACATTTTATTTATTTACTTTTAGGGGAAATGAGGGAGAGAGGGAGAGAAACTTCGATGTGCAAGAGAAACATTTTCGCACACCCCCAACTGGGGACCTGGCCTGTAACCCAGGCATGTGCCCCGACCAGAAATTGAACTGGTGACCTCTCAGTCCTCAGGCCAGCAGCGCTCAGTCCCCTGAGCCGCACCTGCCAGGGCGTCTAGTTGTCGCTCTCTGCAGCTGGCCCAGTCTCTTCAGGAAGGAAATGTTACTGAAGAAAAGTTCTATACCCATAACAGTGCTTCAACCCTGATTTTTGTTTAAAATAGTGGAACCAGGGAAATGGAAACATGGATTGAATATGAAGTTAATGCTAATTTTACTAAGTAATGGTGGAATCGTAAGTACATAGAAGACTACCCTGACTTTTAGGAGATGCGTGCCGAAGGGTTTTCGGGTGAAGTGTCCTGACCTAACATCTTCAAACGGCTCGATTTCATACATCCACATAAATGTTAACTGTTGTTAGATCTAGGTAGTGAGGGTGTTTATGTGACTTCAAATTCTCTAGTTTGAAATGCTTTCACACAGTTGGGAGATATTTTAGACTTTCCATTTAAATCATCACTTAAAAAAATAGTGTGCCCCGTGGACATGGGTGTTTTAGTCAGGGTTTTTCTAAATACGGTCTGAGTATCAGAACCACACAAAAAAAATACATACAGATGGGCTTTGAGCTCATGAAAGCAGCTCGATGTTATCAGTCATCAGGAAAGTGCAAATGCAGACCACACGGAGAGTCCACCGCACACCCACTGGAATGGCTGGGAGCGGGGAGACTGGCCGCACCGCGAGTGGGCGAGGAAGCGGAGCGGCTAGAACTCGTCTTCCGGCAGGAGTGTAAGATGCACAGCTCCTTAGGAAAACAGTTGGGCGGTTTCTTACCAATGAAACATCTTGACCATACAACCCCTAGGTTCCTAAGAGAATTGACAACCTATGTCCACACGAGGACTTCTTTTTTCTTTTTGTTTTACGAGGACTTTAATTTGAATGTTTGTAGCAGCTGTATTCATAACAGCCCAAGCGTGGGGTCAACCATAATATCACCACCCACTGGAGAGAAGGTAAATCCTGATGCATTCCTACAAAGACCTACCGATACATGCACTGACTTGAATAAGTCTAAAACCTTCCACTCACCCAAAAAACAAACAAAAAAACAGACTCAGAACACTACGCACTGTGCAACCCTCTTATAGGACATCCTAGAACAGGCTACACTTAATCTAAGACAGAATGCAGCTGGAGCTGGAGGTCCGGGAGGAGAGGATTGAGCACAGAGGGACAGGAGGGAACTTTCTAGAGTGTTGGCACTACTCCACATCTCGATTGGCAGTGGTTCACAAGGGCCTACACTTGTCAACAGGTGCTCCTCAACCGGATATATGTTCTTTGGTGCAAATTATACCTCCAAGTTCATTTAAAATACTGGTTTTTCCCCTGGTAGCAAGATGGGTTCTTAGAGTTCCTCAAAATGGGGTTCCTGGACCCTCAGCATCAGAATCCCTGAGAAAGCTGATACAAACCTCACTTGGGGGATGGCGAGTTCCAGGTCTGACACGGGACTGTTCAACAGACTGGATGTCCAGAGCTTCTCCTCAGAGGCTGCTGTGAGCCTCGGAGCCAGACCGTGTCAGAGCTTGGTCCCCAGAGCCCCGAGGAGCAAGCCAGTGTGCTGGCAACATCGCCGGATGGGAATTTCCAACCGCGGCAACTGGCAGTGCCCAGTGGGAAGGCACTAGAAAGATTACCTGGAGGGGTTCCGTGCAGACGAACCTGCTGCGTGTCTCCCAGCGCCCTTCCTGCCAGTGGGCCACCTGCTCAGAAGGCACGGCTCACCCGTGGAGCGAGGATGGAGCTCTGTGACGGATGATGACAGGCTGGGAGGAAAGGCAGCCGCGGGCACCATTTCCGACGCTGGTAGTTCTCAAGCCGTGCCGCACGTCAGAATCTCATGGACCTTTTTAAAAAGTCTCATTTCTCTTCTTACCAAAGTAGTGCATGACTGTGTTTTGTTTTCTTAAACTGGGAATATGGATTTAAGTGAGTATACGAAAGGATGTATGTTTTTAGAAAAAAAAAATCAGTCCTAGACAATGAAGTTCAGGTTAAAGCTTTTCTTTCACTGGAGCTCAGCTGGGCTGGGGAAGTCACTGCCAAGGATCTCTGAAGGGAGATGAATCAGATGGTGATAGTATGTCACCTCACTTCAGCATTTATTTTTAAATTTCTCATATAGTCCCCATGTCACCACTTCATTCCTAGGATTATTATGTGCCCACTATTCAATTTTCATTTAAAAAAAAAAAAATCAGTCCTCTGGTAACTTGATTCCAGTTCTTGGAGACAGACTTCACTTTCTAATCTTCAGTGGAACAGCGTGGTGACTGTACATGGGTGGCCCCAGCCCCACCCAGACCCCTTCCGGCCCCCTAGAATGTTCCCTGGCGCCCTTCCCAGTTCTGGCCACTGCTCTGTCATCATCGAGTAATGTTAAGGCAACCATTTATCATTATTTTTGCTGTTTCTTCTAGTATTTGTCTCCAAATTTCTAAATAATAAGCTTACGCTTTGACTGGTTGGTTTTCCAACTTGGGACTCTAACGAGTAAGTCCTCTCTCCCACTCCACTGCTTCACCAGGGGGGCTGAGTAACTTCCAGATTTCAGCCCTCGGCACCACACTCCACAGCTGGTCGGGGTCCCCCAGCCACACGGTACTTGTCCCTGAAGCTGGGAGGCCTCCAAGGGCTCCTGATGTTAAACCACCCTGACACCCCAGACCCAGGATGTCTGCTGAGAAGGGCTTTGAAGGGAGTTAAGGCCTGACGTGTTTTCTTGCTCTGGAGTTAACTCAGGGTCGGAATGAGGAGGCCACCAGAAAGAGTGTTTCCAAGGCTTTTATTGCTCGTCCTCTCGGACTCCCCGTGTCTTTCCCCCAGGCGCCCGCAGGTTCTGCACAAGCTGCTGGTTTAGTGGACATCACAGGCGTCCCGGAGGGGAATGTGGGTGTGTGGCCTGACTTTAGAAGGTTGGTTCGTGTACTACAGTTGTGTTGAATGCTCAGCACCAGGTGCAGTCTCCTGTTGTTGGAGAGGTCTCTACAGGCTGGGGAGGCCCCGCAAGCCCCTGCAGCCCCCTGTGGTGCCGCTCCCTGAGGATCCTTCACGAACCCCAGCACAAGGACACCTTCAGGCTGGCGTCCCCGCAGCTGTGGGAAGAGCTGCCTCGAACCCACCCACATTTCCCCATATTTCCTTTCTCGCTGGGACCCCGAGTTTGCAGGAACTTCCCCCTGCCAAGGCTGGGTTCCTCCTGCCCAGGTGGCTGTCTCCCCTGCGTCACGCCAGCCTTCCTCCTCCAGGGGTCCACACCTTCTCACTCGCTGTGACACTGGTCGTCAGCTGGGTTGGCCGTGTGCCAGCTGCCCGGAACTGGCATCGACAGCAACAACGTCCCTGCTGACAACCCTTCTTGATGCAAAACATACGCCGGGGGCCCGATGAGAGCCCAGGTTGGGCTCACCTGTGATCTGTTCCTCTAGGACTGAAGGAGTGTGCACTGCAGGGAAGCAGGGAAGGGAGAGCACGGGAAATGGCCATTTTAATGAGGAAGAGACCTAGGCTTAAAATGCTAAAAAGCCAAACATCTGAAGGTCTCCGAACAGGTCCTCTTCAGCAGCTGGACACGGAAGTGGGCACTTGGCCCCAGGGCTGCAGAAAGCCTTTGGCCCGGAGGAGGTCTCCCTGCAACCGGACCTCCCGGGCTCGCTCAGGGCGGTGACCTGTGAGCTCGGAGCAGGGAGCCCTGGGAGCCTGGCTCCAGGGAGCCCCCAGCGGGCTCAGAATGGGTGAAACCCACGTCACTCGGTCCCCTTGGCGCAGACGAAGGGTCTTGGAGAGGAGCAGTCCAAAGCCACAAGCTTGCCTTCATCCACAGCCCCGCACCTGAGATCCGGCTGGCCCTCCACTTCCTTCGGGGCTCTGGGGAAGGGGGAGAGGAAGGAGGGGCACTCAGGGTGGCGGGGCTTCGGGTGTCGCAGGCCCGCCACCCTGCAGCCCCACTGGCCCGGGGACTGTTTGAGTCGACCCTGGGGTAGGCACGTGAGGATATCCCTGGCTCATCAGCTGTGTGGCCCTGGGTGGACCCCCAGCGCTCCCTGAGGGGCACACCTGTGTGTAGAACAGGGTGACAGCCCTGCTTGGGTCAGTGTGCTGGGGTCCTAAACACGGGGTGACAGGGACTAAACAAAACCAGGCCCTGAGCATGCATGTGGGGTCAGCCTTCTGAGGGGCGGCCCAGGGGGTGGAGCAGGGCGGCTGAACCTGGGGAGATGGCAGGCTCAGCACAGCAGTGCGGGAGGAGGGAAAGGCTTCCAGCCCCTCTTCAGCACCTACTGAGATGCAGCACTAGTGCACTGGGGGCGGGGCGGGGCCCCCCACCCAGGCCCACAGTCACTCACAGTGGGGGTGTCAGGGGGGTTTTGTCGATCCAGTGCCAGCCACGGGGGCCTCTCTGGACCCCCACCCAGGAGTGCTTGATGGCTAGGCTTCTGCTCAGGAAGTCCTGCGGGAGAAAAGCAGCTGGTCACCCTTACTGGACATGAGCTCGCCTCACCTGGGGCTTCTGCGTGTTCCCAGCTTTCCAGGCCCAGAAGCAACTCAGCTGCACCCGACCCGACTCGCCCCAACGCCGGGAGCTGGGAGGTTGCCCTGGATGCCGACGGGTTCCCTGGCACTGAGATCAGGATGGGAACCAGAAATGGGGGTGATCCCATCTCTGCCCTCAAGGCGAGAGGGTGTGAATGCCAGTCCCCACTGAGCAACAGAGTTTGAACAAAGAGGCTCCCAGGTGAGGGGGCGAGGTGAGCAAAGCTGAGGGGGAGGCAGTGATGGGGTGGATTAGGCTGCAGCCGCCGAGGAGCAGATGGTCAACAACACAGCCGCTGGCAAGAGCATCAGGTACGCTGTAGCAGTTCAGGGCAACACTCTTAAGGCCCTTAAACGGGAGGAAGAAGCCCAAGGAGCACCGTTCGCGGGGGAGGGGGGTGGCCGTGCAGCGGGCGGAAGGCTGCAGTGTGTGCGGGTCACAGCGAGTGCCAAAGCGGACGCACAGTCCTGGCGTGATGTAATAACGAAAACGTCTGCACGTACGTGGACACACACGTGAGGAACAAGGAGGCTGGAGAGCTGTTAGCAGTGATTATTTCTTTGAACTATTTATGCTTGCTGTCATCTTTTTAACAATAAACCAAGACACAGTATTTAAGACTTTTCAACTCGTTTCGAACCTGCACTTCGACTGTATTTAAAAGGTGTTAACATTGTAATTCCTGGTGCGATGCGGCCAGTCCGCACCTGCCCTTCCTGGCGTCCGTTCCACTTTGGGGAAAAATCCGAGAGCGTGAAGGGGAGAAAATGAGGTTACCCAAAGATAGCAAGCACAGTGCCATTTATAAAGAAGAGGCGGAAGCCACCCAAATAAATGCCCAGCCATCGGGAACTAACTCGGCCAATTATAGGATAGCACCTTGGGGAACTGTGGTGCTATGGAGGATGACCGGTCCGTGGAAAATGCAGTTATGCAAGAAGACGTGAATACGAAACCAGGCTCGGTGGACAAGGCAGCGCCCGCCAGCACGGGCCCCTTGCTCCCGATGCCGAGAAGCCTTGACTCGCGTTAGTAAAACGGGACGGTGAAAATGGATGTGACGTTATGTTCAGTTTTTTTTGCCCCCAAAGTGGTTTGAGTTGACAAAGCTGAAACCTCAGTATTTAACCCTGGGAATTAGCAATTAAGCACTGGAGTGACAACTGTCCCTTGGTGCCACTCCCATCGGTCCCTCAGGTCCTTCAGCTTCAAGGTCCTTTCCTGTAGGGACACCATGAACTTGGGGAAGACTGGGGGCCAGTCTTACTCACCATGGATGATGACAGCCCAGCACACAGTCAGCCAGCTCAGCAAAACTACCTCCCTGTGGCCCTGGCAGTCACCACCAAGGGCCCCAGGTAACACCCAGGTGGCCACACCAGTCAGGGCCATCCATTTCTTTTTCTTTCTCCCCTCTCCTCCCCTCCCCTCCCCTCCCCTCCCCTTCTCTCTCTCTCTCTCTCTCTCTAACTGTGGTCAAGTATACAGTCAGTGTGTACATTTAAGGTAGCTTCCTCCTCCCTTGCCCTGCAAAACGAAGCAGTTGCTCAGCTGAGGTCCAAGGTCACTCTGGATCGAACCTCTCTGACCAGGGGCTGGAGGGCAGGGGTCCTTGCTGTCACTGGGTTTCTGGGGACATTTGCTGTGCTCAGTGGGTCTGTCCCAGGAGATGGAAAAACTACGCTGGGCTGCTAAGTCCCTGCCCTGCCAGGTCTCCCCCTCACCTTCAAGCACTCTTTAGGGACCCGGCTGTGTTCCCACTGGTCTTCAGTTTGCAGAGGTGACCCGCCTGGCTCCTTTGATGCGGGAGCCTGGAAAGGTGTCTCTGCCCAACCTGTTCTCGCCTCACAGTGACTAAGAACTCAGGGCCCAGCCCAGGCCCCAGGCGGAAACTGTTACATACCTGTCTCCTGCCTGCCCGCCCGGGCTACCATTCTGGGGCAAGAGACAGCACAGGGAGAACTCTGAGACTGCGCTGCTGTTGCTGGCCAGCGTCTAGCGTCCTGGTTGCCAGGCAACACCTTTGAGCACTTAGGTAGGGTGGGTAGCAAAGCAAGGCAGGGAGGAGGGAGGCTTGTCTCACCCACTAACTCAGCAGCCCTGAGCCTGGTCAGTCGGGTAATAGTGCCAGGTGTTGTGACATCACAAGAAACACCAGGCTGACATGGGAGGAGGGAAGTCCTTGAAATTCTATCTATTGTTTCCACTATCTGAGAAAGAAAGCCTTTGAAGCTGTGCTTTCATCCCAAGGCCTGAAAGGAGGGAAAGGGCCCGCAGTGCCCCCAAAAGCACACAAAACAGCTTTGGTTAATTGCCTACCTCTGGTCACTATCTGTTTTACAAGGGAGTCCCTAATGCTTACGGAAAGAGCCCATAAATAACGCTGGGTAACCGCCCCAGCTTTAATGAACTGCCTCCTGTCACGTATCTGTTTTACAATAAGACGGACAAATGTGGTCTGGAGCAAGGTAAGGATCTAGGCTAACAGACTCCCCTCATACCTACTTGTGTGGGTGGTCACACCCCCTCGAGAAAGCTGGCACCATCACCCATCAACACCTAACTTTTTTACTCTCATGTCGCCAACTGTGTAAGTCCTCAGAACAAAGGACTGGCTTTCTTGGCTCTCTGGCTGCCTGGCCCCAGGCCACCCAGCCTCTGGCCACCTGGGAGCTGGCCACCCCAGCCTTCAGCCATCCTTCCTTTTGCCTTGCCCTGAACCTCTGCCTTTCACTGCCTCCCACCTCGACCTAGGCTCACTCCCTTCCATGGGAACGGATCACTAACAAACCCGACCTCCCGCTACTAGACTCGCCAATCTGTAATTCTTTACATGCATCAGAAAGAAGAACCAGGTCTCTCCCGTCAACAATTACCCTCACTTTGCCCCTAATCCTCCTAGAGAATTTCCCCCTAGCTCGGAGGAGGACCAGAGACTCCTGGCATGAACCCAGCCCGCAGGTGCAAGCCCAGCCTGGCCGATCTGTGCCCTGAAGTTCAGCTGTCTGTCACGCCCAGCCAGGGTCAGCCCCTCAACAGTCCTCCCACGGATCAAGAAAGAAATGCTTGTGGTCTTATGTCGCTGACTTCAGCGGTGATTTGTCGCCCTGCATTTTATAGCAAGACCCGACAGCACACCCCCTAAATGTGATTAATTTTCCATACCACCTCCCAAGAGCACACCTGTCGCCCCCACAGATCCACCAGCACAGAGTGGTTTCTGAGCCCCCTGTTAACTTCGCGGCCGCCCAGCTCCACCTCCGTGCCTTAGAATGCACAATAAACCCAAGACCCTGGCAGCACAGAATCTAGTCCCCCTGCATGCCACGTTACTTCTCCAGGCCTTGGCGACTTTTTCTGTAATGTGGAGGTGGACTAGATCTTTGCAATTCCTTGCAGGGCTAGTATCCTGTAACCAGTGAGGGTATGCACGCTCCTCCACTGCCCACCCTCCCCCCTTCTCACCTGGGTGTGGCTCATCAGGGCAAGGGTGGCATTGTGGGCTGAGCAGTACACCTGGCTGGTTTCCCAGGCCTGAGCTTCGGCAGAGAGGTAGTAACAGTGCTTCCCGGACCACAGCCAGCCCTGGGCACATGGCTGGCAGCTGATCCCTGCAAGTAGAGACCACAGGTGAGCCTCGGGGTAAACTGTAAGGAGTTGAAGGCATGTACATTAAAACATCAGCTCCTGCCCGCCGCCTGGTCTGAGGGGCAAGTCTGCGGGCATGAAACTGGAGAGCCTTTCGGTGGAAAGCAGGGTGGGTAGGGCCCGTGGAAGGCTGTACAGCTTGAGCGCGGCACAAAGCCCCCCTGGTCGGGGCTGCTGACCGACTGCTTGTCAGAGTGCAGCCAGGAGGAGGCGCCATACCTGTTCCAGAGGCCAGGACTATAATGGCGACTGTGGACACCGCCAAGAGCACGGCCATGACCACCAGGGCCCAGCGCAGGGACCTCATGTACATCGGCAGCCCTGGGCGGAGGGGAGGGGACAACCAGGAGAGACAGGTTAGAGCCACCGACTTACACAACAGCTTCGCACCCACATGCACACCCACCACCTCGGCCCAGACACCCGGATGACCCCCTGGATTTAGAACTTCCTATTCGGGAGAAAAATACTACATGTTTTCTTCTTAAATGACTAGAAGGCCTAAGATTCTACTCAAGAAAGAACAAATAATTGGCTAACAAGCATCTACTGTGCGCCCAACATGCCCCAGACACAGGGTGTAAATACGGCCAAGGACGGGGCAAGGCCGCTGCACTCCAGATGCTCACAGCCTGGGCCGAGGCACCAGGAGATGAAACTGCAGATTCGAGAGAGGATCGAGGGCTCAATTTGGAGTTCAATGGACCTGGGTTCAAGTTCTGACTCAAGTGTTCTTGGTGTTTTCCAGTTTTGTCACTGGAATCGCGCCTGCCTCTCTGACCTCTCCAGGTCGCCGGAGGCCAAGGAGGAAGCACTGTGCAGAATGCACTTGGACAGAATGCACTTGGACAGGAGCGAGGCTGCAGAGGGGAAAAGAACCCCAGAGACCCAGGGAATTAAGTACTGACCTAGGCCAGCTACATCCTGGGGGACCTTGGAAACACTACGCCAAGTGAAAGAAGCCAGACACCAAAGGACGTGTATTATGAGTCCCTTTGAATGAAATATCCAGAATAGGCAAACCCATAGGGATAGAAACTAGATGAGCGGCTACCTGGGGCTGTGGGCTGGGCGGTTAGAGCTAAGAGGCAGAGCATTTCTTTTTGGAGTGAATGCAAATATTCTAAAACTGGCTGGTGATGGTCACACAACTCTGTGAAGATACTAAAGACCATAGAATTGTATGCTTTAAGTGGCTGAATTGTGTGGTGCGTAAATTATAGCTTGGTGAAGATGTTCCCCCAAAAAGCGAACTGAAAAATGCTTGGAATAAAAGATATATAGCCTAGGCCGGGTAGCTTGGTTGGTTAGAGTGTCCTGACATACCAAGGTCACGGGTCTGGGCACAGACAAGAATCAGCTAATGAATGCTTAAGTTTGCTTCTCTCTCCAAAATCAATAATTTTTTTAAAGGTACATAAATTGACAATCTTCAAATAACAAAAGCAGAACTAAAAAGCCTGGAGAAGAAAAGAAAAATAAACCCACCAATAACCTCAGTAACTATAACTAATGTGGCAGAATAGTAAATTCGGCTCTGACCTTTCAGAAAACCAAGCAATAAAGAAATACACTAAGTTACAAAAGTCTCACACACTTTCACATTCAGGGCTACAGTGCGGACCGGTAAATGACTCCCGCACAGCCATCTGTCTCCCCAACTTCCAGGTCAAAAAGAAAAGTAGCCCCCACCCCCCACGCCCCTGTAGAAAGCAATTCTTATTCACACAAGTAACAAATTCACTGTCCTGGTTAAAAGACAAACACATACAGATGAAGCTAAATCCCCCCAATTGCTACTTATCTTTCAAGGCTGAGGTCCAGGAAGCTTTCCCGCCCCCAAGTTCACTGGCCACTCCCTCCCGGTTCCTCGTCCAGGACTGCTTAATTGTTTGTATCTTTTTCAGACTATCTTCTTCCCTCCGGGGACGCCACTACCACCACCACCGCCACGTGATCCTGAAAAACTTTCCCTCGCCTGGAATTCCTTCCACCCCGATCTCTCAAAAAGGCTGCGGACACTAAGAGGGCGTGTGAAAGTTGTCGGAAGAGTGTCAGGGGAAAGAATAGTGGGTTTATTCTTTTATCCCAAACCATCTGAATTAGAATTACGTAGACCAGAATGTCATTGGTTTCCAGCCAGAGAGGCGACAGGTAGGGCCGGACATTGGGAGGGTCGTCTGGGTCTCCTAGACTCCCCAGAGCAGTGGCCCAGTGGGGAGTGGGTGTCGGGGACCTCCGGCTGCCTGGACCCCGGCCCGGCGGCGTGGGCTCCCGGCGCAGGCGCGCGCTTACCGACGAGCTTGATCGCCCGGTGCAGCTTCAGGTCCACCGGGGCGCGGTGCAGCAGCACGGTGTCCTCCTTCTCCACCTCCGGCTCCTTGAAGCGGCAGCGGCTCTTCGAGGAGGCCGAGTACTTTGCGCCCCCCACTGCAGGGTCGGCCCGGCCCTCGGCGTCGCGGCAGTGCTCGCTCCGGGCTGCGGCCAGCGGCGAGCCCCGGCCCGACGTGCTGCCCAAGGAGGCGGTGAGCGGCGGGATCGGGAACACCGGCGAGGCGTGGCGGGAGAAGCCTGGGGACTCGGGTACCGGCACCGTGATGAAGCGCGTGGAGGGCGCGGGCGAGGGCGTGCGGCTGCCACCGGCCGCGCCCACGGGCTTCACGCGCACGTCCACCTGCAACTCCACCGGCGCCCAGGTGCCGGGCGCCGGCTCCCCCGGCGCGGCCCAGGGCACCAGCTCCGCCTCGCGGTCCCGGAGCTGCTCGGCCGCAGTGGGGCCCGGCGACGGCGGCTCCGGGCTGGCGGACACCTGGCGGCGGAAGGCACCGTAGCCCAGGCTGGGTGGCAGCACCCGCAGGCGCGCGGGGTGCGGCGAGGGCGGCTTCTTCCCGCCCGAGAGGCCCTGGCCCGTGCCGGTCATCTCGTGCACGGCCGGGGCCGGGACGCTCTCGGGACTCTTCGGTCTCTCCTCCCCGGGGGCCTGCGGCCCCTCCAGCCCCGGGACCTGGTTTTCCAAGGCCTCCATTGGCAACTCGGCCCCGGCGTGGTCTCCTCCGGATGCCGCCCGGACCCTCTCCATCCTGGACGCGGAGCAAGGCCCAGGTCCCTCGCCGCTCTCCTAGAAGGCTGGGGCTCTGTTTCGACCACGCCCCTCCAGGCCACGCCCCAGGCCGCGCCCCAGGCCACGCCCCAGGCCACACCCCTTTGCGTGGCGCTGGCCGACGGGAAGGGCTGAGGGCCCGGAACTGTGGTTTTCCCGGAAACAGCTAGGAGCGTGAGAATCTGGTTTAATTGAGAACCGGGACTCTTTCCTCTTCTTTGTCGTTGGTCCCGCCCACTTCCCCTCCCCTCCTCCCCTGGCCCTCTGATAGTGTGATTTGGAGAGTTACCGCGTGGGCAGACAGCGGTTGGCCGAGCCTTGTCGAGGCGCTGGGACCTCAGGAAAACCAGTGGGTTCAAAAGGAATGGGGCGGCCTGCGGAAAAGTAACAGCGCTGGTTGTTCCGACAGTGGGGTGTGGGAAGGGGCGCCACACCTGAGAGGAACCCGCCCCCTTCCCGCAGAAGTCCCTGGAACAGCTGCTCTGGAGGCCTGACTCCTACTAGCCTAACTCGTTCAAGACTGAGGAATGAATAAGCAAGAAACTGTCTGTTTTCCTGGTGACAGGAGCCTGGTCCCCAGGGCAATCTGGTGTGCTGGAGTACAGGTTTCCCAACCCTGGCCACTGAGCTGAATGCAAAACAAAAGAAAACAAAACCCAAAAACAAACCCAGCACAGAAAAACAAAAACTCCACCAGATTCCTGGCTGGGCTCCACCCAGACCTACTGAATCTCCTAAGGGGCTGAGGTTAGTGCTATTTTTATCAAGTTCCCCAGGATAGGATTGGCAGATAAAATACTGGTCAGTCAGTTAAATCCGAATTTTGGATAAACAAGAGTTTCTGCCCTTCCTAAAACTTCCTTGTTCAATTCTGTGGATCTCTGGGACCCTGCCCTCTCTACCTTTTTTTTTTCTTCCTTAAGTTGGCGTAACAGTCACCATTCTGATTGCTGGGGGGTGCGGTGGGGGGAACCAAGTCCCACCACGGGCTGCCTGGGGCTCTCTCAGGATGAGCACCAGGCTTTGGAGCTGGCTCCACTGTGCCTCCTTCTGATAGGGGACTCAAGACTTGGAAAATTTTAGCTTAAGGTAAAAAGTTATGAGTATAGCAAATAATGTGTATGTTAAAGCTTTTGTTTCAGAAACTACAGATAAGGCCCATCCTGGCTCCTGGGAAAAACAGCCGACCTCCTGGGGCACTGATAGATTACTGCCTGCGGACATCTGAACCCCAGGGAGAGCAGTGTACCACCCCTCCCCCTTGGGACCAGCTAACTGCCCAGGACCGGAATGTTGCAGCTTCTGAATCTCAAAGCCCTCACTGCACCTTGTTTGTCCTCCCGCACCCCCTTATAAAAGATCTGGCCAGGAAAGAGAAGGGAAGATGGTTTGTTAGGGTATGAACCCTCCATCTTCTCAGATCACTGGTCATCTGAATAAAGCACCCATGAAAGACTCAATCGCTGGCATTGCTTATTGGATTTGGTAGTGACAGGCAGCCCGAATGCCGGTGTCTCTTCCGGTTACATTTCCAAGGCAGAGTCTCAGTGGCCCTGGCATGGGAAGGTCATTTACAACTTCTGTGGTGGAAAACCCTAAGGCAGGTGAATTATCCAAATGTTTCAAGGGGCTTCAGTTTCTGGCTAGCCAAAAAGAACAAGTATCTACTGCTGTCCCCTCTTCCATCCTTTTCTCTCACTTTAAAATCCCTTTTCTATTTTACAACAGCAACACATGCTTGTGATCCGACATTTAAATATTACAGGAAGTGCACCCTGCAGAGAGCGGAAGTGCCCAGTATTGCCTGCCTCCACCCCCATTTCCGTCATTAACGGTTCAGTGTGCCCTCTTCTGGCTTTTTTTCTGTGCATACCCTCAGCTATATTGCTGTGCTATGCATGCATTATTTCCAAGTCTTCACTCGTGACTCAACTCATATCTATCCCTAATTTATTTAGGCTGTCTCCTTCTGGTGCGCATTCACATTGTTCCCATTTGGGTGACACAGTGACTACAGCCCTGCAAATGCCGCCTTGCACATTGTTTTTTGTATTTTCAATCACATCTCCGATGGTGTTTGCAGAGTAGATTCATTCAAATGGAACTGCTTCACCCTGACCAGTGTGGCTCAGTGGGTTGGGCATTGTCCTGCAAAGTGAAAGGTCACCGGTTCAATTCCAGGTCAGGGCACATGCCTGGGGTGTGGGTTTGGTCCCTGGTCGGGGTGTGTGCAAGAAACAACCAATTGGTGTTTTTCTCTCACATCAATGTTTCTCTCTCTTTCTCCCTCCCTTCCCCTCTCTCTAAAAAACAAATAATAAAATCTTTTAAAAAGAAAGGAAAAAAATGGAAGCACTTAGCCAAAGGGTGCTCTGATGGACAATGTCGCAGGGACCCGAGAACTCCCAGGAGGCTGAACACACGGTGGATGAGAGAGGGCTGTGCCCCCAGTCTCACCAGCACTTGAAATGACCAATCTCTTAGTCTTAGCCAATTTGGAGGGTGAAAACATAAAATTACAACTTGCACTTTTTTAAGTTACAAATGAGGTTGAACATCTTTTCATTTGTTAACCGTATAATGAGAAGTGTCTTGCCATCCTCAGGGCCGTTGCCACTTGCTCTGAAGCCTCGGGTCACCAGCTGGTCCCAGGAAGTGGTTCAGTAGGAACCAAGTTCACCGGCGCAGGGAGGCTGATGGTATCTGGCCTGTCTAAACAGACCGAAGAGTTCCGAGAGCATAAACTAATTCACGGCTGGTTGCTCCAAAGAGGAAACAAACATCCTCACTCTGGCTCTTGGCTGATGTCACCCCCTGTGGCATCTGGGGCTCTTCCAGGGCCCCTGGACAGACCGACAAGGGAGGGGGTGGGTTTCTGCACGGCCAGCTCCCTGGCATGGTCGGCCCATCCTCAGCTCACATTCCAGCTGCTCAGAGAGAGGCTCAGGGGCACCCAAGCCAGGGTGGCAGTCCCCACCCCCCAGCTCCCTGCCCCTCACCTGTGGACTGTCTTCATGGAACTCAGTGCGGTTTTCGGCCGCCGTGTCCACATATTTGTCTTGTTGTTTCATGGGTGTCTCTGGCCCTCTAGAAATCACTGCTGTAGCCCCAGAACGGTCTCTGGCTTGCCCCCCCTCCACACACTTCTTGGCTGATGTCGCCCCAGGGGCTTAGGAATTCATGAGATACATACAGCTGAACTAGGCCCTGTGTGGGTGCTGGGCACATCTTGTCTTTATTATTTTTCTCCCTCAATTTTTATTGACAGATTTTAAGCAGACTCTATATACACAGAGAGCGGGATGGCAGCTAAGGGTGGGGAGAGGAGGGGGTGGAGGGATGGAGCAAAGAGGAAAAAGGACTCATGGACACAGACAACCGTGTGGTGATTGCAGGGAGGGGCATAAGGGGACTAAATGGGAATGGAAAAAATACAATAAAAATAAAACTATACAAAAATTTTCAAAAGAAAAATAAAAAGAGTAAATAGAGAACGCTTGAATACCCTCCACCGAGATTCAGCAGTTAGCGTTGCACCGTATCTGCTCTGCCTCTACCTCCGCACAAGCGCAGTCCTGTGGTTGTCTCCACGGGACAGCCGAGGGTGCTGCACACCTGGAGAAGCCGCCCCCGACTGCTCAGCGCGTGTCTGCTCTGAATACGTGTGTTCTCCCCGAGTCCAGGATCACCCTCACACCCGGAAATGAACGATTACTCCATACTAGGTGATGTATAGCGGTCACGTTTAAATCTACCCAACTTCTTCAGACCAGGATCCAGTCAAGTCTCAGACATTGCATTTGGGTGTTATGTTTATGTCTTCTTCCTAATAACTGTGTGAGGAAGGCACTAAAATGCCTACTCTACACATGAGGAAGGTGAGGGTCAGGGAGGTGGGCGGGGTGGGAAACCTGCCAGATCACGTGACTCCACGGTGGGAAAGTTAAGATGCTGCCCTGTGTCTCTGGCTCCCAAATACGTCTTTTCTCTCTCCTTCTGCGTCCTGCTCCCCTGCACCTCGGTTTCCTGGGGGTTTCATTCCCAGACTCTGGCTGGTCCAGTCCATGCAAGTCTTGGGCTGGGCCACGGTGGAGTGTCAGCCCAATTACCTAGCCAACTGGTCTTCACTTTCAAGTTCCTCTAGCCACACTCCCGCCCCACCCTTACTCCCGACCTCATCTCTGCTGCTTTCTGAATCCTAGCTGTGGCTGGGAGTGACCAGGCACCCTGTTTCTGCCTCCCTTACTTACAGGAGGACCCACTTGCAGCTTGGGGAGATAAACGGCTTCAGCAGAGGATCAGAAGGTGGCTTTTGGCCAGGGGTGGGGGCAGGGCTGTGACAGGAGAAAGCATTCCAGCCGGGTCTGTGCACGCTCACCCAGGGAGACTCAGGAAGAGCCCTGACAGGAGAGGAAAACAACTCCCTGAGTCCTGCATGGGCCGCTTGCCCTCTGCAGGGCAGAAGGCAGATCCTCCCTGGCCGGGAGCCCCGCCCCTGGAAATCGCTCGGCTGTCTGCAGTGGCTGTGACTGACGCATGGGAATAGGCAGCCTGACTGAGTCAGTATCACAAGGGCTGTCCCCAGCCCCCTGGGTGCGATTATTTGGTGAGTCCAGACTTTTAAAAATCAACTCAACTCAACTCCCCTCTGGGGCTAGGAACACTTCAATTTTCAGGGCAAAATGTCCAACTGTCATCTAAAGAGGAAGAACCAGAAAAGACCTCTCTTTTTCTGATGTTGACTTCACAAGAAAGGAAGATGACTAACTTTATTTTTTTACTTGTTTCTATAATTACATGTTTTTCTTTTTTCCTTTTTCAAGTAGAGTTGACATTCAACAGTACTTTAGATTAGTTTCAGCTAGACAACACAGTAGACAATTCTATAATTTACACAGCGATCCGCTGGTAAGCCTAGCGCCCACCTGGCCCGGGGCACACTTGTTACGATATTGTTGACTCTCTTCCCTGCACTGAACTCTGCAGGCCTGTGACTAGTCCATAACTTCCAATTCGTACTT